CACGAAAATGTAATTTTGCCAACTTGTCTTATTCCTATTTATCCAATTTTCTGATATCACCTGAGGTCCTTAGATTAGTTTACTTCAAATCATGGCCACCTAGATGTAATTTCAAAAGTGACTCCAAATAAATTAAGTAGGCATAAAAACTTTCGAAAATGTCACATTCTGATCTAGAATTGTCTCAGAAATCCAAAAATGTTACAATATACAGGGTGTTTCATTTAAAAATTTAGAACCGGAGCCATTTCCGGTGAAACCGGAAGTGACCGGAAAGTGAAATATATGTGGAAACTCTCCTCTTCACATACCATTAACCTATACCAAATCTCATTCTGATACACCTAATGGTCAAGAAGTTATGACTTGTCTAATAAATTCGTTGACACCCGGTATATGTGATATACAAGGTGTTTGGTTCACCGACTTATATACGGAAGATGGTGGTAGGTTATGTGATTTTGAACAAATTTGACCACATATACTATTATACAAAGTGTTACACTTTTCGAAAAATCATCGTTTATTAATTTAAAATTGGATGTTACAAACATCAGTTTTTGAATTCTAACGAACCAAAAATGTTTTATCACATTAGATCCCATTTCATGTTCAATATCGATGAAATGCGTATTCAACTTTCTAAGAAAAAAGAGATTTAATTAGATAAAATGTTTGAAAAAAATGATGATAGGTACCTCGAAATTCGAAACACTTTGTATATATATGGTAAAATATGTTTGAAATGTTCTCACATTTCACCCCCTTTCAGATATACGTCGGTGAACCAAACACCCTGTATATCCGGGAAAAAAAGAACTCTTTGTTTTCCCGTGGGAAAAAAGTAATTTATGATAATGACATCAGCAGAGATGGAATTTCAAACTTTTTTCCCGTGACAGAAAAAAACATGTTGAGTTCAGAGATAATTTGTATATGAGAAAAAATTCGACAATCTCAGAAACCAACTTACTGATTACAACTTTCATTTGACGAAGTCTCTGGTCATATCCTTCATATCATGGCTTTTTTCCTTTTTCGACTAAAAATGAAACAGTCAACGTTGTTATGAGATGCCAATTTCCTGTCCAGATGAAATTGTTTCCGGAGATACTTATTTATTTCATAGCTTGCCGGCCATCCTTGTTTGTTGTTATACAACGTGACCAATCCATTACGCAACTGGATGTATTCGATCAGTCTTCAGTTGTTTTATCAATTTACGATTTAATGCTGTATGCTTGGCGATCGAAATTATGCGATTTCCACAAGTCCTGTTTATGTAGAAATGAAGCTAATTTTTCAGTTGATGATTCGAAATAGGTTATAATTATTTTTAAATACTGTCTGTAGGTTAATCGAGGAGGTGGTACATTCATTATTCCAGATTATTTTTTTGGATTTTCTCTCGTCTCAATAAAAAAATATGAATACTATTTCAATATACGTGTAGTTAGGACAAATCAGATGATTCGCCCCAAAATGTCACTGCGTTTGAAGAATTTTCCTATTAGAGAGCCTGAACGAAAGATTCACTAGCTTGTCAGTGAAAGAAATAAAAAATTTTTACTTATCTTTGGACGTTTCGGGAACGAATCTGCTAACAGATACCTGAACTTTCAATCAAATCATCAGAAAAGATTTAAGAAAGGAATAATCAAATCACTTCACGATAGAGCCAAATCAATATCATCTGACCAGAAATTTTCAATAACGAAGTCCACCACATTGAAAATGTTCTCCAACTTAACTCCTATCCAAAGAATTTTGTCGATAAGACGATTCATCAAATTGAAAACAAACCCACAATTCTTGTAACTTGACGATAAGAAGTAAGGAATTCGATAAAAGGACGAAGAAGTAAAGTATATACCTACTTATTGTAAAAGTTCAGAAGGACTGATCGATAGGCTATTACAACAAAGTATTTGTCGGAATAACAACTGAAAAGTTGTTTCTAGTTTCTTCTTCATCATATCTTCATATTACTGCAACAATAAATTATTGTTTTCGAAAAATACTGAATAAAACACAGAATCATTCCCACGACAGTTTACTGTGAACAATATCCTATTATCATCACATTCATATTACAGCACGTATTTCTGCAAAACATTTCCATGCAAAATGTTCGCAAACAACTGCGAGAGTACGGTTTTTGACAAAAAATCACAAATATTTGAAACAAGATGCCATTCCTACAGAACATCTTCCGTCGAATATCAAGTCAAGAAATAATTGAAAATGAATTCAAAACTCTCAATTTCTCACAAAATATAAATTGCAGCAAAGATTTGAATAACAAAACGGCAAAAATTGATACTCCTGTTGTCGATGTCGGAGCAGAAGCAACGTCAACGTCGTTAACTTCTGAATTTGAATCTGTCACAATCGACACAGTAGTGGATCATTCAGATGGGATTGGCAATGCATGATAATTCGTATGTTTTTGCTATTTGCGATTGCGAATTACCTCAAAGTCACAATCTCCAGAATCAATGAAATAGTAAAATCGAAGAATAGGTACCTGTTTATATAAATTGACTTATTTCTAAACAGATCGAGAAACTCATAGAAATTTCAATGGACCTAATTGAATTCATTGCGCACGCCCATGGCAACGGTAATGTCTGTGACACGACTAGTAGCTGATATGGGTATCCCAGATGACGTCACATAATATGCGCGTAGGCACACCATCTTCTCCTTCCACTATGGTACTGGGATATTTTCAAGCGTTGGTATTTCTCACATTCAGATAATTTCTATATCATTCTTTGAGCGATGTTATCTCAAAATCCCTTCTGGAAAAATAATCTGGGTACGCCTCTGACTCGATGGTTTTTGTCGCTATCAGAATCATTAAAACCAACAGCCGAATGACTTGTAACATGTAATCTCTTGAAAATATTGCAGTTGATTCGATCTTCTGAGTCTGCGAATAACGGTCATTTGTGTTAATCTAACAAGGTTTTATGTATCTATGTGTATATTATCTATGCTCCCGGTATTACCGTTTTCTATTTGCCGCACGCAAACGCCTATTTGCACTTATGTTACACAACAATCCCGAAATCAATGATTTGGCAAAATCTATTTTTTGAAAAAAAAAATGGAAAGCAGGATTATCATCCTCGGAATGGAGAAACAGTTATTTAGGTACCAAGGACGAAAAACTGTCTATTATAGTCGAGTTTGCAAATTTATAGCCGAGGCCTTAGCCGAGGCTAGCAATCAGACGAGACAGTAGACTGTTTTTCGCCGAGGTGCATATTACCGTTGATTGATATATTACGCTTACGCTAGCGTAATATATCAATCAACGATATTACATACCTCAAACACATATCTATATCACGGTCCTATTCACACTCGTATTCACACGTGAAATCTATCGGATTTCGTGAATAATTACTTTTCACAACAGCAAATGACAGAAATACCTTCCAGAAAAGGGAAATCCTGTAATGTTCAGAGAATATCGTGAGAACCAAGGGAAATGAGGTAGAAATTGGTGTTCTTCTAAAATTTCTGGAGGTTATATGTCTCGGGGAACACCTCCCTTGGCGATGTGTTCCAAAGCCTCGCTGTTCGTTGGAAGAACGAGTCTTTGGAAAGAGATGTTCTGTAGGTCTCCAAAGTGACCACGAAGGGGTGCGAAGCCTCAACTCGACGGGTTAATCTCGCGGGGACTGCCAAGGGAGTAACAATTGTTGATATTTCAGAAGATCATCGTCCATGAAAATATCTATAAAATAGAGCCAGATCGCCATCTTTTCTACGGTGTTCCAGAGAAGTGAGAGAGTTTGTGAGCGAAGCATCACCCACGAGACGAATTGCCCTTTTTTGGACAGCATCCAACAGTTTCAGGGTATGTTTGGATGATGCACTCCAAATATGGGAGCATCATTCTAGAACAGGTCGTATCTGTGCCTTATAGATCATAAGCAGCTGACTGGAAGTGAAATAACTCCTGGCCCGAAACAGAAAACCAAGTTTTTGGGATGCACTTTTAGCAATTGATCCCACGTGATTTTCCCAAGAAAGGTTATTGCTGATAGTAATACCAAGCATTAAAATGGATGTCTTCAAAGGTATGGTTACTCCTGACAGACTCATGTTGGGCACAGTGAGATCGGCTTTTCTAGAGAAAAGGCATGCTTGTGTTTTGTTTGCATTGAAATCTACCAAGTTATTGGATCCCCATTCGAGAATTGTTGCCAAGTCCATATTTATGTTGTCAACATTTCTCCCTTGTTCGTTTCTGATTTGCCTGGCTGGTATTGGAGCCCTGGAAGAGAAGGTACTATTATCCGCGAAGCTGTGTACTGGACATGGAGTTGCTTCCAACAAATCGTTGATATGGAGTAGAAATAGTGTTGGTGCTAGAATTGATCCTTGCGGAACACCAGCATATATGATAAGAGAGTCAGATAAAACTCCGTCGAGCACTACATGGAGAGACCTGTTTTAGAGTAAACTATCTAGCAGAGAACATAGCTGGGAAGGCAAGCCATAAGATGGAAGCTTGGCGAGGAGTCGGTGGTGCCAGACTGTTTCAAACTTCATTTTATAGAACAAAACTACTACAATGATTTCATTTTAAATCGGCAAGAAACAAATCAGACCCAATTTCGATTCATCTACTTGCATGTGTTTCGCAAATAATTGCTCACTTGATGTTAACCATTGAGATGAAACGTTGATGAATATCTGTCCAATTTGCATGGTCTCCGGACCGTAGAATCGAGCGTAGAATAATCGTTAAATAATGCATAATTTTATGGAAGAAGAAAAGTCTCAGGATTCAAATTAAATTTCTAATCGTTGTAACCATTACCCATATAAAATTCGGCCTAATAGTAATCATCACAGGTGGTTAGCTGTTTGAACAGTTGGTAGGATTATTGTGGTTTGTTATAAAACTGTGCTGGAGAATAATGAATATCAATTATGTAAGTTTATTTCACGCACTTGTCCTGAAAATCAAATTGTTTCAGGTCGATACGTTCGTTTTTACTAGACTGGTGGAGAAGAAAATGGGACTAGTCCGGAAATTGTTACTTTTGGAGGCCATTCCAAAAAATTCCATCATGGAAATATTGACTCAAGAACAACTTTTCGTATGGTGAGTAATGCAGAATATTCTATAAGAGGATTGCAATGTTGACGTCCCTGACTTAGTATGAGCATCATGTCAAACATATGAGGAAATATATACGCAATCTAATGAAAATACCTCCAATACACCAATAAATCGTGACTTCCCAATGATGCATATCTATTCTTGTATATATCTATCATAATTTGTGACTGATGATTATGTGCAGACATGCATTTTTGAATACAAAACATCACCATTGCTGAACTGAGTGGGATATAATAATGATATTATGTATACACTATTTCAAAGAAAACTTGAGTATATATATATACTATGATTCGTCGAGACCTGTCATTCATCAATGCGTTTATTGAAATATTGAAAAACTAATAAAACTTCCAATGACCTTGTTTTACTAATCATTAATTATTATTAATGACTTTTAATCATTTTTTGTTTTGTATTCCGGACTTATGTTTATCGAGCGAAAATGTTTATTTTGATGTCCTCTACCATCCCTTATAGTTTGTCGGTATGTTTATGGGACACCCTGTATACATTGATTGAGATTTCTTTAGGTATCTTCAATAATTGACCTATTCTGATGTGGTATTAGCTCATTTTTCACAACAACTATGAATGTTCAGTTCGTGATGATTATAGAACAGTCTTCTTAACTTTATAGGAAGATATAAATAATCCTTCGATTTGAAGGGTTGCGATTGACTTTCACCGATTTCTAATATGGGTAGGGCAGTTCCAGTACCAGTAAACGATTTATTAATGGACTGCTTTACTCTGATATCTTATTTCACGAATGTTGGGTAATAGCTATCGTTAAATTCACTTAATTGGTCAGTAGAAAACCACTGATTCTACACGTGTAAATTCCTCAAAAACGTTCTCACCTACTAGTTATTGCCTGTGGAATTGCTTCTCATGGTTATTATACAGGGTGATGGATTCTCATTGGCATTGATATGATCTAGTATTTCTGGAATGCTCTGATTTGATTTCCATGTGAAATGTTAATGATCTGACAGCTCTCAACGACTTTCATTGACAGCATTGACTTCCTACAAAAAAGGAAGCTTTCAGATGAATAAATAGTTATTTATTATACAAGGGAAAAAAGTAGTAGATTTTAGCTCCAGGTTGTGTTGTCTCCCGACGCGTAGCTGAGGGAGACAAAGAACCGTGAGCTAAAATCTAATATTTTTCCAGTGTATAATACACTATTTTTTCTGTGACAAAAGGAAGGACGAATCAATATTGAGAAGATATTACATTATTTTGAAATCTGAAAATTTTCGACGTGACATTTTTAAGTTTTTAACAGTAGGGACACCTGCGTTGTAAGCATCTTTATCATTTTTTTGAAGTAATCAAATATCTGATGTCACTTCTGTCAGTCTAATTCTGTGATTTGATTTCAAAAAATTGCGAATTTAGTGGTTGTTTAGTAATATACGTAACCGCGAAGTCGAATGGAAGATAAAAGGACTTGCAGTTCTTTCTTGGAGACGGTATGGTCAACCTTGAACTCACTCTGGCACTCTACCAAAACTCGTTTGTCTATAGAACCGTAAAGCGTTGGTATTCGTCAAAAACTTATAACTTCCGAAAGTTGAACAAATAACCTCCGAAAGTTGAACAAAAATCTATTATTGCGAAAAGTGCATTCCAAGAACTTGGTTTTCTGTTTCGGGCCAGGAGCTATTTTACTTCCAGTCAGCTGCTTATAATCTATAAGGCACAGATCCGACCTGTTCTGGAATACTGTTTCCCTTATGTGGAGTGCAGCACCCAAACATACCCTGAAACCATTGGATTCTGTCCAAAAAAGGACAGACAATTCGTCTCGTGGGTGATGCCTCGCTCACGAACTCACTCACTTCTCTGGAACACCGTAGAAGAGTTGGCGATCTGGCTCTATTTTATAGAAATTTTCATGGACGATGCTCTTCTGAAATATCAACAATTGTTCGATCCTCCCTTGACAGTCCCCGCGAGAATAACTCGTCGAGTTGAGGCTTCGCACCCCTTCGAGGTCACTTTGGACACCTGCAGAACATTTCTTTCCAAAGACTCGTTCATCCAACGAACAGCGAGGTTCTGGAACACATTGCCAAGGGAGGTATTCCCCGAGGCATATAACCTCCAGAAATTCAAGAGGAACTCCAATTCCTACCTTATTTCCCTTTGGTTTTCACGATGTTCTCTGAACATTACAGAGGATTTCTCCTTTCGTGAGAACCAGAACATAAAAAAATATAGGTACCTACCTCCTCTCCCTTTCTACCCTAGGTACGCACGATGTTCGTCGAGCATTATAGGGATTGCCTTTCATGCGCTCCAAGAGATAAAAAAATAAATAAATATTGATGATTGCATTCCATCTCCTGTAAACATTAAGAAAACATAGCCTCTGGTGTAATAATTACTAGTCATAAATTGATGATGAAAACAACTGTAACATGTCCGTCAAATCACATGCGAACATGGAACGTAGTTAAAGTAATGACGGCCATTTGCATGATTTACATACATCTGTTACAGAAAATGGCTAGATGGAACTGGTCATCGAACAAACAGGAAGCTGTTTAGAACAGCATACTTTGAATAAATCGTTGTTCCTGTTTTGTCATTGCAAGTCGCATCTGTGAGTACCAGAGACGAGAAGAGTCGAACAAGATAATTTATATACCGAGTGTCAACGGATTGATGTACCTACATTCTATACATACTCGAAACTGGTCTGTCGGGCTTTTGATAAGAATAAACTGAATTAGAGTTTTACTTACGAGACGTGATAGGAAGTTATGACAAAATCAGTTCAGTTCAGCCCTACACGGAAAAAAGGAATTGTTGAATCAAGCAAAATTTAATTGAATGGAGCGAATAAAAGTGTCATATGTGCACGACAAAATATAATCTTGAAATGAGTAAATCTATATCTTGTTTCATAGCGAATTTGAAGTTTGAATCAAGTAAATATGTCTTGCATGAACTCTGGATCTTCTTCGATCAAGCACATCCATGAATTGTTCATGAAGAGATATTGAATTGGCTCAAACAATCATTTTGTTTGATTCAAAATAACAAGATATTGATTCAATCAAATATTTAGTTGATTCAACGAAATATTTGGTTGATTCAAAGAAATATTTGCTTGATTCAATAAAATATTTGGTTGATTCAAATTAAATATTTGGTTAATTCAATGAAATATTTTACTGATTCAAGAGAAACTATATATCCATTCGATAAATTGTTTTGTTGAACCAAATTTAATATTCGGAAGTTCTGAAATTACACATCAAGAGAATAAACAAAACTAATAGGAAATTAGTCGACTCCCAGAATAGATCTCAAGTCTCTACTTCTCCTTAGCTGATGGAAAACTATTTGGGATTGCTAATCATCCTAATTTCGATTTATCCAGCTGATATTTCAAACACGAAGGATCAGGCTTCACGTATATAATGAATTCGAGGCAGGCATAGACGAGGCGAAATGATCGCCATCTAGAGGCGAAAATTTAAGTTGATGTGGAATGAACAAAATATTTCATTGATTTTTCATATTTCGTTGCTCTATTCAAGCAAAAGATACGTTCGAAACGAGAAAACTTGTATGTTGTTTCAAAGATATAATCTCATCAAAGTGATAATTGTTTGATCAAATCAACGAAATGTTTATAGTTGAATCAACATCGACATTATTTTGGATCGACATAATTTGTTTTTGAACAAACCATATATTTTGTTGATGGAATTGATATTATACTGTTGATTCAATTAGCCTACATTCTTGATTTGAACAAGCTGCTTCCATGGAATAATCATGTATCTGGTTGATGATTCAACAAAAAATTGCTCAGTCCAACAAAAATAACTCAAGCATAAATAATTTGTTGATGCAACAAATCCTTTTTTTCCGTGTATCTCTTCTCTTGTTCAACTTTTTTTCAAGTGCAAATTCAAGGTCTGGAATCATTCGATTGGTTTCCATTTTATGAATATTTTTATTCAAATTTTCCCCATTGCTTCTTTTCAAGTCAATGATCACACTGTTCTCAATGTTCTCTTGTATCAATCTATTTTCGTTGTGAGGAATTCAAGGTGAAAAATGGATTGATTTTCATTTTATGAATTTTGGATTGGTTTTATTTTGGTAATTTCAAAATTTGAGAATGAAAGCAATCTTCTGAATAGTCTCCGATGAAATAGACTTGAATTGAGAGTGGTGGTGATAAGGATCTCATAATACGTGTAGGAGTATAAATATTCAGTGATTCATGATTTTCAGGCCCCAGACCCACACATAACCTTGATGAATATTCATACCATATTATCATTTTTCGTTGTTCGATGAACTACAGGCAGGTGACGGTTATAGATAACGCCATTTTTGACTGTGATTAGTTCAAAATGGTGGTGGTTATCATGTATTGTATAATGAATATACACACAAGCTAATGATTTTGATAACTTATTCCACTATGAAAACATACTCAGGCAATCACTAGACAGCTGAACAGTTTTTCCCACTTTTGACGTACAGCGTACATACAGGGTGGTTCTGATTTTTGTACTTTAATTTGGAAAGGTGACAGAAGAGACTCGTCAAATAAAGGGACATTTTTTTATAATGATTATACTAGAGAACTGTATGATTAAGGAATAGACAAAAAGTGCGACGCAGGTGAAAACTTTTTATGAAAGTCAAATAATTTCTTTCAAATGAAAATTAGTTGGTTTGGCAGATATGGAAAAGCTATATACATTTTGATGCATTCTGATGAAATTAATTCGAACATAATTTCAGTTTACAAAATATGGGGTTTGCCTTATTGAAATACAAAAAAAGTTTTCCAAGATTACCAGCAACTTTTTTTATCAAGCTATATAAATATTAATTTTTTCTATACTTGGAAGTTGAAGTAATGACGTCATCAAATTATTTTTTCCTGGAGACATACCTACCTATATTTTGGCAATTTCAAAAAGAGCTTAATTTCAAGAGAACGAAAATGGGGAGAAAAATATTTCTTCTGATGAAAAATTCTGAGCAAATTAGTAAAGAAAAACGGGTTATCTAATATTCGCAATCGTTTGCGACTCATGTAAAAAAAGTAGCTGTTTCACCAAAAAACGTTTATAAAAAATGAGAGCGTGGAGTATGACCATTTTCCAAACAGTTTTAGAAAAGCCCAAGAATCTAGAACAATCTCGATAAGAGAAGAATATGAGAATTACTGAAAAAATTGAGAATAAAGAGAAAAAATGGAAAAACAATAAGAACAGACAGAAATAAAGAAGGAACGTAAAAGAAGTTGTTATTTCTTCCTGCTTTGTTTCACCTATAGGCTAATGCACTTCACAGCTTATTGCTTACAAATTGAGCAAAAAGTAAATCAAAAGTCTCAAGGTCAATATAAACTCGAATCCATTTGTTATGTAAATTTTCATACATGAAATCGCTTATCACAACATTGCTTTCCAACATTTTGTCAGAAGTTAATGACGATGGAAATTATGGAACAATTATTTCCAACTATGTGAAAAAATAAGCAACTCCTTTTGCTGTAGATGGCGCTGTTTTCATGTTGTTTTTTGAATAGGTACTTGTGGAAATTCCACTATCCAGTATTTTATCAGATATCAGCTTTTCCGTAGTTCATTTATTTCAAACTCGAGGTGAACACCAATATCCACTTCAAACTGCCGAAATTCTTGTACAATCCAATAATTGAAATAAAAAAAATCATGAACAGAAATATTTGGATAAAATATTCAGGACGATTTATGAGGATCTAAATTTAATTGGGTTCGAGAAATAATAAATTATTCCACACTGTACTATATAAGTATATACTGTAACACCCTGTAGCCATAAATGAGACGTCGTTAATAATAATTGCCAATCGGAAACGAAACCATTATCAGATCAATAAAAACAAGCCAATCCACTTTCTAGTTAAACAATTGGTGACATTATTAATAACATTTTTCAAGGTCGGTTTTTATGTAACACGCGGTAGTGCATTCCGTAGGTAGCCTGATATTTAGCATTCCGCAAAACTAAATAGGTGCCTATAGTTACATGCATAGTCACGTGCACACATTGTTGCTATATATCAGTAAATATTTAAAATTCAAAATCGATTGTTGTATAATATACACAAAAATTATAAGTTTGAAAAATTGAGTAAAGCAAGAAGGAAATGATAAAGAGAAGATGATGAGTTTTCAATAATAGTTTTCTGTTGTTACTGATATTAGTAATATAAAAATAGTCATGTATTAAAGGGAAACCGAGGGAAACAGTTGTAGATCTAAAATCTGATATTTATCCCGTGAATAATACACTAATACACACGAATCAAGTAATTTATGAAAAGAGACATTTCATAAGCTGTCAACTGAGATCAAATTTCAAACTTTTTTCCCATCACAGAAAAAATGGATATTTTTCGATTTATGTTCCGGGTGACCATCACCCTCTGTAATTGTTCAATTTTTGACACTAGAAAAAGAATAAAAAAACCGACTCACATGAGGGGATTTTCTTTCCATCTGGAAACACAAGATACTTTTCCACTATCTGAGAAGATATACAGGGAGCTGCAAAAAGTGTATGAAGAGCTGTTCAAAACTATCGCACTCAATATTCCTCTTCTGTATTTCTCCATTTATGGGTATTCAGAACTAACAGTCTGATCGATTTTTTAAGGATTTTCGAAAAACCGTCATGGCAATAGTGATATTCTTTGGTTCTGAACTAACCGAATGAAAGTCTTTCAGTTCAGTTCTAGTGAAATATTTCAGTTAGTTCAGATTGAAATAAAATCTCTATGATTGCGATTCCAGCTATAACTGTGTTACGACATTCAATTCTTATTGGTGGTGAAAACTGAAAATCAATATTGTAATCATATTTAATAATCAATGCCTACTTCCGAAAATCATTTAAAATCGGTTAATTTGTTAATTTTGATATCCCATAAATTGAGAAATACAGAAGGAAAATATATCGAGCGTGCTATTTTTGGAAAGCTCTTCGAATAATATTTTCAAAGGTGAGAAAATATATTGGGCTCGATATAGGGTGTTCTATTTAAAATGCTGCTTATTGGATAGTGTTAGTGCTCTCATTGCAGAAGTGACTGCTATATCACCGCCTATTGACGACATCTTCATTGCATCTGACTATACAAATTCTGTTGCGATTTTTTTCTCTTCAATGAAGAGAATCAGGTTCAGAATAAACATTCAAATGAAAAACCGTAAACCTTAGACAATGATGAATGTTGTCAACGTCTTCAATTATTCCAATCGAGAAATTAAAATATGACACAATTTAGACACACAATAAACAATGACTCTCTTTTTCAATTCAATTATTCTTTTCGAAAAAAATACAATACTCGGTAGGCATGTTCTTCTAATCTTAAACTCATTGTTCGTAGACAATCGATAGTATAGTTGACAAGTGATCATGTTCAATAATCACGTGTTGCCTCACCACGTATATTGATTACTCATGAGCTCATACTGCTTATAGTACTGAGAAATGTTGACAACATAAATATGGACTTGGCAACAATTCTCGAATGGGGATCCAATAACTTGATAGATTTCAATGCAAACAAAACACAAGCATGCCTTTTCTCTAGAAAAGCCCAACATAAGCTTGTCAGGAGTAACCATACCTTTGAAGGCATCCATTTCGATGTTTGGTATTATACTATCAGCAATAACGTTTCTTGGGAAAATCACGTGAGATCAATTATTGCTAAAAGAGTGTATCCCAAAAACTTGGTTTTCTGTTTCGGGCCAAGAGCTATTTCACTTTCAGTCAGCTGCGTATGATCTATAAGGCACAGATCCGACCTGTCCTGGAATACTGTTTCCATATTTGGAGTGCAGCACCCAAACATACCCTGAAACTGTTGGATTCTGTCCAAAAAAGGGCAATTCGTCTCGTGGGTGATGCCTCGCTCACGAACTCACTCACTCCTCTGGATATTTTTTTTTTATCGCTTGGAGCGCACGAAAGGGAATCCCTATTTTTCTGAAATATCAACAATTGTTCCTCCCTTGGCAGTCCCCGCGGATTAACCCATCGAGTTGAGGCTTCGCACCTCTTCGTGGTCACAACAATACGTATACATCTCAAATACCTACTCTATGAACATCATATTCACATTTATTTTACTTCTGAATGGAAATGGAATGCAAACTAACGTAACCTCAAATTGGGGCAATTTTATTTTGCAAATCTTATGTATTTTAAGTAGTAAAATATACTTTATTTAACGAATATCTGCTGAAAAGTTCCTTTGAATCACAAGAGTACAGAAATAAACAGTTTTCTTTGCTCAAATCACTATGAAAAATCGAAATAATAGGTACACACAAGCAAATTAATCATTTTGACACAACCCACAACCGGCCACTATACGAGGTGGAAAAAACTTCAGTAAGAAAGTTGTTGGGTTTCATCTGATGTACTATCTTTTAATGGGAATCGTAAAATGAATAAAGTCCAAATCAGTTTCTTCAAATATACACTCTGACAATTTTCAACTGTCCGGAATACCCATTTTAATAGAAAAACCGACAGACTGGCCAAAAATACCTGTTTTCTTTCCATGGCTTTTCAGCTAACTATATTATGTTTGTGAACAGAAGAAAAATATATTTCACCAGAGTTGAAAATATATTGGATGTTTTAAAAGCACTGAATTGGGCTATTTTTCATTATCTTGCGATTCATATTCTCAAACCATATTTGAATTTTTTTTCCACCTCGTATAGTTAAAACCGAGGTTAAAAGTGTAGGTTGGGGTCAATACGGAGACATCCTGTACTATTATTCACTAGTAGGAGGGTAAATTTTTTGATTGACCATCAGTATAAATGATGAAAAACAATTTCTCATCATGAAGATATCAGCAAAAAAGATGGAACTATCGGGATAAAAGTCAAAGTTTCATGATTAGGTCAAAATTTCGAGATAGTAGTCGATATTTTTTCTGAATAAATAAACAAAAAAAAATGTCACTTTCACGGTTCAATAATCAATAGTGTCAATCAAATCAGAAATATTCAAAAATAGTTTCAAATTGCCTCAATGGGCGTGTACACCTTAGTAGAACTTTTAACTCAAACCATGTTTATAATGATCCTTTTATACATAAATAATGATTGACGACATAATTCGATCGAAAAATTAACTGGAATGTTTTAGTTTAGGACATGAATAACACTACCTTCTGAAAACGGACCCTCTTATGACGTAGAAACCTCATCTCGCCTGCAAGGCAACTGATAAATTAATTCTTTCAACTTTTTATAAAACGTAGGGAGCTCACAGCAAGAAACGGTTTGCGGTGGTGAGCTAGTTTGGGTGAGTTCTATCGAATTATGAAATAATTTTTTTTTGTGATATAAGCCCATTGTTGACTTCGCATCTGATCATTTTGGCATTTATGTTCACCTCATGTATGATTGAATACAGGTACATTATTCGAGATGGTCAACAGCTGACGAAACATGATGACATAGGTAATGCATTAACATTCCTCTTTGCGGTATTTTTACAGTTCTTTTGGTTTTCTTAAAGGTTTGCGTTCAGGTTTTTATGCTCCATGGTCTATACGATGCGGTTATGGGTTCATTCCAATCATTCAACACAACTGGAAGTTTCAACACACCACACACGGTTATCAGTGGTATTGGTGGAGCGTTGTAGAACTGAAAAAAGCTCATCATTGTTATTATTCTAATCGTTTTTCCTTCACTTGCTGCTGGTGGTACGGTTATTTCAACGCACTCCTTATTTATTTTTATCTCTGTTTTTATTCGAGCGTTATGAATCCTGCAATATGCAGCTATAATCACATAATGCGAGTATTATACATTATACAGGGTGCAACGTACAACAGCTGTTATATGTTCGATATTTCATGCCTCTTTTAGCACATGAAATCATGCAGTTGTGGAAGGGTAGCTACTAGAAATTACGACGCGTCTGTACTGGCATCCGGAAAAAACTTTTCCACGAATATATATGCCTAATTCACAGTTGCAACTGTAAATTATAGACAGAAGAAAGTGTTTCCGAATATCTCCCAATTTACAGTTGCAACTGTAAATTGGGCAGAGAAAACGTTTTTCAAAACATGACCTAATTTACAGTTGCAACTTTTAATTAGGAGATATTAAAAAAACAGTTTCTTCTAGTTCTAGTCCCAATTCACAGTGGCATCAGTTGCAACTGATGTAAATTGGGCAGAGAATACTTTTTCCAAAGACGTCCTAATTTACAGTTGCAACTGTTAACTAGGAGATATTAAAAAAACAGTTTCTTCTGCCTAATTTACAGTTGCAACTGTAAATTAGTCCCAATTAACAGTGGCAACTGTAAATTATGTGTTTTGAAATAAGTTTTCTCTGAATTATTAACAGTCGCAATTGTAAATTCGTCAGAAGAAACTTTTATCTCAAATATCTTTTGATATACAGTTGCAACTGTGAATTATGAGGTGTTTAAAAAAAAGATTTTTCTGACTAATTTACAGTTGCAACTGTGAATTGGGCAGAAGAAACTTTGTCAATATCTCTGCAACTATGTAAATTAGGATATGTGTGGAAAAAAAATTTCTCCTATTCTAATTTACAGGTGCAACTATAAATTAGGCAGAAGAAACTTCTTTAATTCATTATTCCAAATTTTTTGGGATTTTCTCTCCTCGTTTCTATAAAATAAAAATATGAATATACCACCTCCTCGATTAACCTACAGACAGTATTTAAACTTCTTTAAGTATTTCCTAATTTACAGTTGTCACTGTAAATTAGGGCTAATTATCAGTTGCAACTGTGAATTGGGAAGTGTTCTAGAAATAGTTTCTTCTGTCTAATTTACAGTTGCAACTGTGAATTAGTTTTTTTTTTAAGTTCTGGTTCCCACGAAAAGGGATATCCTGTAATGTTCAGAGAACATCGTGAGAACCAAGGGAAAAAAGGTAGGAATTGGTGTTCTTAAATTTCTGAAGGTTATATGCCTCGGGGAACACCTCCCTTGGCAATGTGTTCAAGAGCCTCGCTGTTCGTTGGATATGAACGAGTCTTTGGAAAGAGATGTTCTGCAGGTCTCCAAAGTCACCACGAAAGAGTGCGAAGCCTCAACTCGACGGGTTAATCTCGCGGGGACTGGCAAGGGAGGAACACTTGTTGATATTTCAGAAGAGCATCGTCCATGAAAATATCTTAAAAATAAAGCCAGATCGACAACTTTTCTGAGGTGTTCCAGAGAAGTGAGTGAGTTTGTGAGCGAGGCATCACCCACGAGACGAATTGCCCTTTCTTGGACAGATTCCAACAGTTTCAGGGTATGTTTGGGTGCTGCACTCCAAATATGGGAACAGAATTCCAGTACAGGTCGGATCTGTGCCTTATAGATCATAAGCAGCTGACTGGAAGTGAAAAAGCTCCTGGCCCGAAACAGAAAACCAAGTTTTTGGGATACACTTTCAGCAATTGATCTCACGTGATTTGCCCAAGAAAGGTTATTGTTGATAATAATACCAAGCATCGAAATGAATGTCTACAAAGGTATGGTTACTCCTGACAAGCTTATGTTGAACACAGTGAGATCGGCTTTTCTAGAGAAAAGGCATGCTTGTGTTTTGTTTGTATTGAAATCTATACCAAGTTATTGAATCCCCATTCGAGAATTGTTGCCAAGTCCATATTTATGTTGTCAACATTTCTCCCTCGTTCGTTTCTGATTTGCCTGGCTGGTTTTGGAGCCCTGGAAGAGAAGGCGGTATGGAGGATACTATCATCCGCGAAGCTGTGTACTCGACATGAAGTTGCTTCCAACAAATCGTTGATATGGAGTAGACATAGTGTTGGTGCTAGAATCGATCCTTGCGGAACACCAGCATTTATGATGAGAGAATCAGATCAGCAGATGAAACTCCGTCGACACTACATGAAGAGACCTGTTTGAGAGAATACTATAGCTATAGCAGAGAACATAGCTGGGGAGGCAAGCCATAAGATGGAAGCGAGGAGTCCGTGGTGCCAGACTTGATCGAATGCCTTGGAAATATCAAGTGCCACGGCTGAGGTTTCGCCATATTTTTCAATAGATTGCTGCCATATATGTGAGACGTAAGCGAGCAGGTCACCAGTTGAACTCTATTGAAGGAAGCCATATTGCCTATCGTTGATAATACCTGAATGTTCCAGGTATTTCATGAGCTCGATGTCGATAGCTTTTTCCATGATCTTTGAAATAATAGATAGCAGTGCGATCGGTCTGTAGTTGCTAGGTAGGGTCTTTTTGCCTTTTTCAGGAACTGGTTATACTCTTGCAATTTCCCAGTTTGACGGCAATATCCCCAATTTGTAAGAGTAGTTGACCAATTTGCAGAGAACAGGTGTTAGTTCGGGAGCACATTTCTTGAGGACAATCGGTGGGATTCCGTCGGAGCCACAAGCTTTATTGGTTGTTGAAACCCAATAAAATCTTCCTAATAGTACGTTGGCGAAAGGTGATTTGAACAGTTGCAACTGTAAATTAGGCAGATATTCGTAAAAATGGCAGTTCAGACGTACAGTTACAATGTAGTCATCATCAAAGTCAACATGAAATTTCAAAATAGAATCAGATTGAAGCTCTAAGCATGTTCAGTCTAGTCTATTAGTAGCAATCATTTAAATGCAATCAGTGATAGGGTGTACTGGTTTTCAAAATAATCAAATACAATTAGAATACTTAATATAGTTCGAAAGGCAATCGACACGTTTTTCTCCATGGAATTTGTTATGGAATTTATGAACCATCATGGGTATCTGTAGTATTACAATGAAAAACAAATATTGTTATCTATTCGATGCCTATACCATCTGATATTCTTTGTGAGTCATTTGGTAGGTACATATCAGCATTCCAATGCAAAGATAACAAGTACCATATCAGGTTTCGAAATAGAAAAGAGAGAAACAGGTGAATTCATCGCTATTAAATGGAAGGAATAATCATTTCATGAAAAAACAATAATTATTATTTATCGTGATTCAAAAACATATAAAAAATTGTGATATACAGTTTGACTAGAAAGTGGATGATTCTTGGATCTGAGATACCAAAATCACTTTGAATTAGTGAGGATAAATAGCTGCCTTCAGTATATCGAGGATTTCATCACTAATTACCGATTCTTTCAATCACAATTTGGCTCCTGTAGGCAGATTGGTTCGCAAATATGGATATTTCGACCCTGAATATCAAAAATCGACGTGGGTAGATGACATGAAAAACTTTGGGCGTGATTATCGAACCTATTATAATATTTGATTGTGCTATTCTGCCATGAATTATTCAAAAACGTTATCCTTTTACAATCACATCTTTCCACATCGTAAAATAGCTTTGATTTTTTTTGTCCTGCACGGAATCTGTCCATATCAAAATGCAAATTATTAATTCACCTTCATCTCAGAGAAGTTTTTGTACGTTATGATTCGACAAAACCACTACAAATCTGATCCATGAATAATAATTCGCATGGGTTTTTTGAACTCTACTACCAATAGTAAATACAGGGTGTTTCATAATATATGCGCAGGACTTCAGGATGTGATTCCGGATGCGTCCTGATTCCGAATCCGAAGTGATTTTCGACCTATTTTGACTCCTAATATCATTTTCCGGAAATTGGGGTAGTTCCATGGCTGTTGGCGAGCAGTGTATATCCCTGAAGATGACCCCTCTTGGTCATAGAGTGCATTTTTGGTGAATCTCTCGCTCCAGCAAATTTCAGGATCATTACCCAACGGTTACGTAAGATACAGGGCATGTTTCCATTAGAAGTGGGTCACACTGTATAGAGAAATACATTGAGAATTCGCATTCTCTATGTGATGAAAATATCAATTCTTTCTCGGTTTATTCAACAGAAAACGACTACTTTCCTGGCTTAATGCCACGATGAACATTGAATTATATCTATTGAACACACACGATAAGAATTTGAAAACAAAATCTTCTGAAGTAGAGAATTTGCATCCTTATGACTGAAAGTACCTTTTTTTGTGAAAACATCGGCAGTTCAAATGGGTAGCTCAAAACTGTACTTTTTCTATAGTGCCCTAGAAGTTGATAAGCACCCACTACCCCTTCAAAAACCTTCACCAATTATGACTTAAAAGAAAATAAATCCGTCGAAAACATAGCTTATCATGAGTAGAAAATGCCCACGAAAGATGTTTTCTGTGCGCCAACTGAAGAAATGACAGGAAGTAGCTATTTCTCCATATTGTTTCGTAACACAATAAAAAGATAATATTTAAATCGCAGGCGAATACAGTACTTGTAGGTTTTCGAGTAGGTTTTCGATATGCCGACATAGCATCGTGTTTGGTTTCAAGTTTAATTATGTACTTATATGATGTATTATGGAGAGAAACCCTAGAAAACACTATTTCATCCGGTATTTGATATTGATTAGCATATGATTGCCATATGGCGAGTATATTGAAAACGTTGAAGTATAGTAGTATAGTCATCGAATCCGTTCCTCAGGAATTTCTTTCTCAAACGCCGTAGCAATGTTTTCAAGGCACATCAATTTTCGATTACAACAAAAATATAGGGATTCCCTTTCGTGCGCTCCAAGCGAGGCTCCAAGCGTTAAAAAATGTTCAGATTGAACTATTATTCCGAAATTCTGATCAAAATCGAGATAATAGTCGGAATTTCTATCGACTGAAAAATCAAAAAACCGGTGATGGCACTTCTATAGAGGTATTATTCGAGGAATAAACCGTGGTGGAATTCTGGTGTACAAACAACTGGTATTCCTTGAAATTGCCTTGAATTCCCTGGATTTTCTTTGAATTCCTTGGATTCCCTTGAATTTCCTTGAAATTCCTTGGATTTCCCTGAAATTCCTTGGGTGTGAGGTGTGGTTTATTCCTGGTCTACAAACAACTGGAATTTCTTGGAATTCCTTGGATTCCCTTGGAATTCCTAGGATCTCCTTGGATTTCCTTGAAATTCTTCGGGTGCAGTGCGGTATAATAGTGGTGTACAAACACAACTTGAATTCCTTGGATTTCCTTAGAATTCCTTGGATTTCCTTCAAATTCCTTGGATTTCCTTGAAATTCCTTGGATTTCCTTGAAATTCCTTGGAATTCCTTGAAATTCTTTGGAATTCCTTGAAATTCCTTAGAATTCCTTGAAATTCCTTGAAATTCCTTGGAATTCCTTTTGAAATTGAAGTTTGGTGTACACAGTTTGACCGCGGTTTATCCCTCGGTATTATCCACCCTCATCAGATACGTTTTCTAGTGATTGATTTTGGTCTCATCTAATTCATATTAGAAAAGAAAAGAGATTCTCACTTGCTGTATATCTCGTGTATATCCAGGAATCCATATCCAGGACTTGATCTATGAGTTCCTACCGAAATTGCAGTTGTGGATCGAGTTGTAATTTTCGTTCGTCAAATATTTATGAGGCAGGAATACTATTACAATTAATCTTTTCAGAATAGTGAATAAAAGTTGTCTTGTTTTGAATAATTTGTGAAGATTCTGTAAGACACGGAATCTTTGAATAATTTGGTGTCAAAATACAAATACATTTTTCTATCATGACCCCAGCACGAACTGGTTCTGCCTATATAGACATATTTCCTAATGTTCCTATATTAGGGAAACTCGTTTGAAGATTAGAAGTAGATATATACAGGGTGTCGGTGTGTCCGGTTTAATTTCTTCAACTTCGACCAACGATAGAGCAAATTGAAATATTGTGTTGAAAAAGAAAATTTTCTCAGGTAATTTGTCAAAGTTTTATTTTTTAATTTTATTATATATGTGTATAATTACTATAGTACCTAGTTTGAGCTCACAATTTTTTATACATTTACCTATACTCACTACTACTATGTAATTTGCTTGTGCATCTATGACCTGCCATCTGTACTTTTTATTTTTATATGGCTAATAAAGATTACTTACTTACTTACTATATTTATGAAAACAAAAAAAAAATGGATCTATATATATAAAGAAATACATTGAGAATTCGCATTTCTCGGTTTATTCAACAGAAAACAACTACTTTCCTGGCTATATGCCACGACGAATATTGAATTACATCTATTGAAAACACACGATAAGAATTTGAAAACAAAATCTTCTGATGTAGAGAATTTGCATTCTCCTTCATATAATAATATTATATCATTCTGAATATTCAACAGAAAACAACTACTTTCCTGGTTATTTGCCACGTCGAACATTGAATTATATCTGTTGAGATAATGTCATTCCTCAATTTCAGAGGATTTTGATTTTTCGTGCTCTCTTTTTGGATTATCATTCATTTTTATATATTTTTTCTCTGTATCTTCTGGTCATTCAGTGGGAGTATTTCTGGGAATACACGTATTAACTAGAAAATACAGGAAATATTCAGGAAATTCAATCAAAAGACAAGAAATACAAGTATAATATTCTGGAATTCGTAGGAAATGAAGGCGATAAAAAGGAAATACTTACAAGCAATACTGATGTTATAAAATTGACAAGAAACACTAGAAATATTTTCAATTTTTCCTGAGAGTATCGTTGATTTGGTAATACCTGTACATTTTTCAGCCAGTGGTTCACCCCTTGATACCAACTTTCAGCATACGACTCAAACGAGCGGATCAACCCTCTTGGAGTATAAATTGAGCCCACCCCTGTGGCCCACCCTAACCAAAGCAAACAACAAATTCTCGCAGGAAACTTACCCTTATGAATGGTCTCCTAGGCGAATCCACAAACTCGTCCTTGCAAATGCCATTTCCATCCACCGTGTCCGATTCAGTTTTATCGCACATTTTCACATTTTTTCACCTGAAGAAACTCCACCACTTCCGATCATCGAATTATCAACTAACAACAATAATAATTGACAGTATCGCTAACGTACCTTTTTAAACAAATGACGCGCGACGCGTTCAAAAACAGTCGAAACGCGGCGAGCTTCCAAACAATAAGCCACCTTTTCAGGTGAGCAGAGCAGTTTGAGGTTATTTCTATCGGGATAGCAGTGCGCGCACAGGTAAACAAAACACAGTCTGCTTGCACACCGGGTGTTGCAATCCACGGCCACCTACGTTTTAGATTAGTCATCGGATAAAAGAGACCAAAAGCGGCTTATTGTATTGGAGCGCATTGTTCATGGGAGCGAGCCTTGTACAGGGGGATTCTTCTATTCGAAGCTATTTTTGAATCTGGAGGTGATCACTTTGAAAGAAGTCAAAAGCCTACCAATTCAAAATTTTTTAGAAAAATGTTCTCCTAGGAGTTGTCAGCCTGTTTCTTTTTTATTGGGCCATCCTTTATATTGCCAAATAATTACCAATGAAACGTTGATATGGACATTATCTTTATTATTATCATTTTGATATTTTTGACAAATACTCAGACATAATAATCTATCACTACTTTGATATACAGTGTGTCCACCTTACGGACTTACCACCCCTGTAAAATCGTTATTATCTGACCAATTTCAAAAAACCTTTTTTTGTTGGATAGGCATTTGAAATGCCCATCCAATGAGAGAGTGATCCAATTCTTGGACTGTTATCGTGGCCAACTGCGACAAATTTCAATGACCCATATTCCAGAAAGTACTATTAGGGATTTTTTTCCACGAAACTTGATGATGGATTCTGAAACAGTACCACTCGAAATATACCTGTACCGATTTTCATCATCACAAAACACAGGGTGTCCGAAAAAACGAATCATCATTTTCTTCAAATAGGTGATCAGCAAATGTAGTTCTGTGGTTTTTCTAGAAAGAAATAATCACAAATTATCATTGAGGATTATTTCAAATATACCTGTACCAATTTTCGTCATTTGAATATACAATGTGTCTGAGAAAAAAATTAAAAAGGATAGGTAAGCAATATTTTTCATCCTGATAATTCTTCACTCAAAATAAAAAGATGAATCAGGATCACTTGGGACATACCTGCACCGATTTTTCGATTTCCGATCATCATTAAACACAGGGTGTCTAATTAATATTTTTTTTGAGTTGAAGAAAAAATATTGCCTACTTTTTCTTTTAAATTGTTTTCTCATACACATCGTATTTTTGAATGATGAAAATCGGTACAGATATGTTCAAAATGATCTTCAATAATAATGTGTCATCAATTCTTCTCAAAAATACCACAATACTACATTTTCTGATCACCTATTAAAAAAAAATTATAATTCGTTTTTTCGGACACCCTGTGTTTTATGATGACAAAAATCAGTATAGGTGTTTTTCAAGTGATCGTGATTCAGAATCCATCATTGTTTTTTGTGAAAAAAAATCCCTAATAGTACTTTCTCAAATATGGGTCAATAAAGCTGGTCACAGTTGGCCACGATTACAGTTCATGAGTAAAATCACTCTCTTGTTGGATGGACATTTCAAATACCTATCCAACAAAAAAAAGTTTTTCGAAATCGGTCAGGTAATAACAATTTTACAGGGGTGGTAAGTCCTTAAGGTGGACACACTGTTATTTCTTTTATATTCATCTTCAATACATTCCTACAAGTGAGTTTATATGGACATTTCAAATTGACTTTGACACTTCATGAGTTGATTCTCATGTTAAAATATCAAAAACATATCGTATAATCTTTGATAAACTTACAATTCAATCTAAACATAATGGACAATTATTATTTTATGAATAACAATAATAACGATAGCTAAGAATTTTCTGAGCGTGATGATAATAATATATTATATGATTATATAACAGTGAGCAATTGAAGGTTGGAACAATTTCGTTAAAACTTCAATATGGCCATTGCGGGAAAACGCTCAAAAACGTAAATTTTCTTCTTCACATTGCGCATTTTTGTGGTCTAACTATATTTTTGGTGACGTCATCACTGTTCGGGTTATGATATCATTATAATTTGATTCAAATGGCAATACCCTATTCTGATGATACCTTAAAAATAACGCATTCTTCTGTGTATGGACGTCATATTTCTTCTTTATTTTTCCACATCTTGCAGAACCCTATTTTCGGGAACTGAAAGAGATTTCATCCATAATAACGTCATTTATGATGATGACGTCATCAAAAATATGAGTAGACCAACAAATGGGCATCTAAAAAACACAATCGACGTGTCCGAACTTTTTTCCTAATATTATTGATGGCGTCATCATTATAAATACCATTATATAGAATAACACCTCTTTCATTTCTCGAAAATAGGGTTACATATTTAAGATGAGAAAAAATATAGAAAAAATGACGATCATACACAGGAAAAATGATAATGACGTCATAACTCAAAGAGTGATGACGTCATTAAAGATATGAGTAGACCAAAAAATGCGTAACTGAAAAAGAAAATCGTGTCTGAGCGTTTTTTCCGCACTCGCCATATTAAGCTTTTAACGAATTTGTTTCACTGTATAAAAAATTATATCATTGAACTTTTCTTGAATCAAAATGCACGAACTATTTTTCTGAAGGAATTATTCGAGGTTCGAGTAAGAAAGAGCATGATGACTTATACTCAATATTTTTTGGACGAAATACTTATTCTGAAAATAATGATATTCAAAAGACATCTTCCAGATGGTGGCATTTTTACTTTTTTCCTGGATTTTCTCCCAGACATGTCGGTATCGCGTTGGACCATTTGCCGTTTTTCAGGCATTTCAGCATCGCCGCACCTTTCAGCTGAAGCCCCTCTTCGCAAGTGAAGGTTATGTTCTCGCCAATCTTGTAGAAAAATTTGACAGACGACATCCGACCGCTTATGGTCGTCCCTGGATAGGAACATGCCTGGAGACCTATTCATATTCGAAGAAAAAATCAGTTCTCACATCATTGATAAATTTGCCTCACATCATGTATTTCTGTACACACAAGAGTGAGACTTGTATGAAAACAAAGGGCTATAAAACATTGAGTAGTGATTAAGAAATATCATACATTTAATCTAGTTCCATTTCATGATCTCATGTCTCCTTTCCTAAAAACAGCTTGATAAGAATTTCATGACTCCATTTTTAATGACTCAATCTGAATATATTTTTCGTTGGTAACAATAAAAAAACAACCAATAATTGCACAGTTCGCCCAGTTATTTCAGCACAAAAACTTCTGTCTTTGGATCTTTGTAAGGCCTTTGACACTGTAAATCATAATATTTTATTGACTAAATTATCATCAATAGGTGACAGAGGACAAATTCATGATTGGTTTCAAAATTATTTGGAGAATACCGCAAGGGTCAGTTTTGGGGCCAATTTTATTTTTAATTTACATTAACTCAATATCTACTTTGAAATTGAGAGTAAAACTAAAAATATTTGCAGATGATACAACAATAATCTATACTTCGAAAGATTTTAACGATATCAATAATGATATTAAAAATGATTTGAAACAAATATCATCATGGCTAACGACCAATAAGTTGACTCTTAATTATAGTAAATCTACGTAAATGTACATCTCAAGAAGAACAACGGATATATTGAATAATACCCCAATATGTTTCAATAACAAATTCATTGAATATACGAATGTAACAAAATTTTTAGGTCTTTATATTGATGAACAATTAACGTGGACTCTACATATAGATCATTTGAGGAAAAAATTGAATCCTATTGCTGGTATTATTTATGAAATTCGAAATTTCATTCCTGTTAGATACCTAAAAGAGTATTTATTTCTGTCTTTTCATTCAAATTCACAATATCTAATATCTATTTGGGGGAGTACAAATATTTCACGTTTGAAGCCACATGAAATTACAAAATGAAACAATAAAGTGCATTTTCGATCTACCTTTTGTAAAATCAACTGTAAATCTATACAAACCTGAAGACTTGCTGGATCTAGTTTCATTATATAAACTCGAAAGTTGTTGTTTTATTCATTTTGTAAGGACGGAATTTAAAATATCAAATTTGAATTTTCATGAAGTTAATATGATTCACGCCCAAGAAACAAGGCAATTTAATTTATTGATAGCAAATAATTATAAGTCAAATTTTGTTACACAATCAATATTCCATAATGGAACATATAACTCCTTATACCTAATGAGTTGAAAAATATAGAAGAAGTAGAAAAATGTTAAATCAATTTCAAGAAATATCTGCTCAGTAGACCTAAATTCCATCGCATATCTACTAATTATTAATTGAAATGGATTATAATATTTTCATTTTATATTTTATTATAATTTTTTTTATGGAAAACAATAATCGTGCAATTATTATTGTTCCGATTGTTGTATATATCCCTATTATAAACAATAATGTTTCTTGGGGTAATAAAGACAATCAATCAATCAATAAAACCGTGCAAACTCCTCTTTTGAACTCACATTTTGGCAGTTTTCCTGACCACCTAGAGTTTTCCTGGCATGCTACTATTGGCTGTCCCTCCATCATATAGTCTGGGTTGCAGTTGAATTGAATGACGTCACCGGCTTTGTAGGGCCCATTTCCCTGGATATATCCATTTTCAGGAGCAGCAGGCGGGTCACAATGGACCTCTGCAACCAGAAAAACATGCAAACTGAACAAAACGTCAAAATTCTCAATATCCTGGTATCAATTTGTTATAGACTTCATCCACAGACACCTCTCCTAATGGGCACACTTTCGTTCTTATAACGTTTTATTCACGTTTGCAAAGTCTGTTGAACGTTTTGAAAACGATATTATATGAAATCTATCGGAAACGTTACAGTAGTCGTTTTTTCAACGATAAACTAGGTTCTTCAATCCTACTTTGTCAAGTATTATGAATAATTCCCATAAATCTCATTGGCTGAATGAAGTTGATTACTAATAAAAATAAATTATTATATTTTGCGATAGTATCTATAATTTTCCACTATCGTTATATTATAATGTTATTCATAACTTGCTAATGAATTCGTTTCCTAATGAAACGGACACTACTTCGAGTTTGTCCACACTACTCAAAATACTGACAGGCACAACAAGAGGAAGGAGCTATGGGTGTCGGCTTCATTCTGTTCTGACCGATGGCAGTAAATTAGGAACGATAGTATCACTGAATGTAGCCGATAGTGATTCATTGATTCAATAATATTTTTGTTTAGGATCGAGCTCTATTCGAGATATTTGATGCATAAATAACAAAACAATAACCTGTCAGAATGAAGCCAACTACCTTCTGCATTCCTGCTCCAAGTGCTTTTGTGGTTATGTATGTTTTTGTTTACCAGTTTTACTTCTTTTTCTATTTTATTCATTCGTTTTTCATTCGTTAGCTATTCGCTAGCTATATTCTTCACCATCAGCTATTTTCAGACTAGATCCAGAATGTACGTCACAGTTTGCCGTCCCGAAAATTAGGAATTTCTTCAATTTGAAAATGAAAACGACTTATTGGACTTTATCGGTCACCATTCTGTACAGACATGAAACTGGAAAGTTCCGAACTTCCCCATTTTGCTCACTAGAATATTTTGTTTCACGTTTATTGTCATGCTTAGCACGAATCGCCCACAAAGATGAGAGCTTCATTTTTACAGAGTTCTTGGAAAAATGCAAGTACTTACCTAAAACATTCTCTTCGATTTCACTTTCGTCTACATTTCGCATAGATTTTCAATGAAGAATCCTGATACAAACAGAATTTGTTTGATAATATTAGTAATATTCTTTCAATCTGAACTAACTGAAATATTTCACTAAAACTGAACTGAATCGTTCTTTCGAATGACGTTCATTATGTAAAATGCATGTCAACTGATTCAGTTCAATTCAAGTGAAATGTGTCAGTTAGTTCAGAATGAAAGAATATCACTTCTGATAGCAACAAGATCCTAAAATGACAGTTGACACTGTTGACAATTCCTACAATTGACAGGCCGGACAGAACTCGAACGACTGGAGGTGTATTTGAAAAATTCTGTTACCATGGTAATGTGTTTGAGAAATTGTGTTGCCATGATAACCTGTTCAAATTTTTGAATAAATCATAGATCAACAATCCGTCATCAATCGATCATTTAGCGTGGTACATATCCGTACGCTAAATGCCATTTTAGTTTTGTGAGTAGAAAAAAAAACACGTTCATTTCTCGTGGGGAAAAGTTTTTAGCCACGACAGTTTCTCGTTGGAGCAACGTTGATGAAATACATTGGTTCTGACCCATTTTGCAACATTATTTTAACGTCACTGTGCCAATTGGGCTAGTCCTAATCATGCCAGAGCCAAGCAGAAGCAAAGAAAAATCCAGCAATCTCTTTTATGGACCTTGCAGAAGAACTGTAAGAAGACCATAATCAGTCAACTCTTCTGGCTTACCATATTCAAAGAAGCTCCATCAAATCCTGGTTCTCTGTAAAGGTCCAAGCATTAGAAACTTACCTTCACACTTCGGGAATGGAGTAGCCCAATCGCCGCTAGCTTGGCAGACAGTGTCCACAGCCCCTCTCAGCCCGAAGCCGGGCTCGCAGCTGAAAATAGCCCTACCGCCCACCTCTCTAGACACTACAAGCACTTTGAGGTGGGGCCCCAAATTGCCTCCCACTTCGCCGCATTCGATACCTACAAAGCGTTCGTGAAGCCAGAGCATTCGGTACCTAAGGGAGGTGTACTCACTTTCGCAGATGGGAAACGGGGAGCTCCAGTTGCCTGATGGGAGGCAGACCACTTCCGGGGCTCCTATTAGAGCGTTTCCGTTGATGCAGGCAAACTTCAGCCTGGTGTTCAGCTTGGTGCTTTGGGTGTTGACTGTGAGGCCTCTGCGTTGAGGTACCACCGGACAATGCACGGCTGCAATCAAGAAGTCAGATAAATCTTAGCTAACAGAAACAGTACTGCCTTGCTCTTGTTGATAATTGGGTCATTATCATCCATTCTAGATTTTTCAGCCATGTTCCCTAAATTCCCAAGCATATTCCAAGCGGAACTTCATGGTATAGGAAGATTACTACAGTTGAATCTAGACAAAAGCAAGATATCATTCTCGTGTCCGATAGTGGAGAAGTCACCAAAGCGCTGACCTCCATGGTTATCAGCTCTAAAATGGTTTGGGAATACCGGGAACAACTGAACGAGCTAGCCAACAGGAATACAGTCACCCTTCTGTGGGTTCAGGGATATTCCGCGGAGTAGAAAGAAGTGAAGTAGCGGACAAACTCGTTATAGAGAAGTAGCTCGAACAACCTCATGTTCTAAAATCTATGAGGGATATGGGACAAGAGGAATGGCTCAACTTTTGTTTTTGCCGAGGTGGTTGAAATTCTTTATGGACATCATTTGGATCTAATCCCCCATTTGATATTGTGGGAGTCCCCTGACTTCAGGGTATACCCACTGAACACTTCTCCCCGTTTGTAGGCTCAGAATGACAGTTAATGAAAGCAACAGATTAATGAAAAAGCGGTGTTTATATACACCTTCAGTCTAACTCACCTTTTACCTCTATTTCCACGGCATGGTTATACCTAGCAGGTGTTACGCAAGTGAATAGTCCCGAATCGTCTTTGGAAGCATGGAATATCGACAGTCTATACTCCAGCTGAGAATCACGTCCAGAGTCAGTAGCCCATCCTTCCGGATATTTTCTGGAAAACAACTGAATCAGTTCTTGTGTTGCACCATCATCAATGATCATTCTCACCTGTAATCGTGACTGACTGTCCACTTGGGATTGCCGAATCTTCTCATCCATAGACATTCCATATGCAAGACCGTTCCTGGATAAACAATCAGTTTTCCCTCATTTGACTGCGCGATTGGCCCAAGCTGGTGCCTGAATAGGATGGTCGGTGGTTTTTCCATCGAGTAGTCATTGGCTTGGTTCAGTCCGAAGCAGGTTGGTTTGAGACCATCCCAATCTCCACCCATGCATCTCCTTTGGTTGGGTCCTGAAATCAGAGAATTGTGATCATGGCGAAGAACAAATAGTGAACCTCTACTAGGTTACAGCTCAGTAAGTTCTTACCTATCATCGCGAATTTCCCGATGTCGACGCATCTGCTAACCAAAACTGCTCCAGCTGGGAATTCTACCACATCCTCGCGAATTTGCTGGTCGTTATAAAATGATATGACGTTGGGTTCCTGGTTCCTGAATATGCAAGTACTGTTGTTCATTACTTGCGATGCCATCATATCGTCGGCATCTGAAACGTTCAAAGTCAGGTTGGGACTAGGATATTCCACTCGTGTCGTACTGACCACAGTTCAGCGATCGCCCTATCCAACTACCATCTTCACAACTAATTTTCCAAGTGGTTTTTTCTCCCATGATGCTCTCGATGCAATTGAATGATACCTCGCTGCCATCTGGGAAAGTGTTTTCTTCGTCTATCACTGGCTCCCCGTTCTTGTAGATCAAAGAGCCACGGACTCTGAAAACGACAAGAACAGTGGGTTCAGAATACTGAAAAATGGTAAACTCTGGAATGCTAGTGGCTGATATTTGATTCCTGAATCAATGGCCCTAAGAGTGAAGAACGCTCCAAATAGGCTGAGATGGAATAAAAGGTTCACGCTTACTATTCCAAGCAGTGACCAATGGAAAGAGTATAGAGTGAGAGAGAGAGCAGAAGACTTACATATGCTCGGTTATAGTTGTATATATAGCAGGAATGCGGTGATGTGGTCTTGAGAAACTAACTGAACTGAAGGAAGTCGAACTAGTATGGGTTCTGGGTCACAGAGGGATGCCAGAATCGGATCTACGACATCGTTCTGGGGACCGGTGTATTGGACATTGCAAGATGCCAAGCTTCGTCCGCCCTCAACAAATGGGAAGACAAAGCACTAGAAGGATTTTTGAGGCAAATAAGCGGCTGCCAGCAATCAAAAACTTAGTGGCCGGTCCAAGCAAGTCGAATACATGGTTGCTTGGCAGGGACCACCAGTACTATGCCTCTTTATCTGGGTACTGACATGACACACACAGAAATAGATGGTACAGGCACCTCTTATTGTAGGTGTAAAATATAGCCTTATTTGCCCCAACTGCAAACAAGCTGAGGAAACGTCACTTCATCTCCTCGAAGAGTGTTAGGTGTATGGGAGCATGAGATTCGAAACCTTTGGAGTGGATAAACTACAAGAGGAAGTACATCCTGGCATTCATCAGGGGGTCAGGAGGACAACTAGAAGAAGGATGTATCGATATGTGAAGAGCAAGGGTAGTTAAAAATTTGAGGCAGGGGCCGCCAAGTACTGTGCCTCCTCAAAGGGGTACTGACAGGACACAATAGGTTGCGCAGACACCTGTTATCATAGGTATGAAAGATAGCTTGACTTGCCCTAAATGCAAAGAAGATGTGGAAACGCCACTTCATTTCCTCGAAGAGTGTGTATGGAAGCATGAGTGAAAACCTTTGGGGTGGATAAACTACGAGAGAACGACATCCTGGCGTTAATCAGGAGGTCAGAAGGTCAGAAGTCCTGGCATTCATCAGGAGGTCAGGAGCACAACTTGCACAAAGAAGATGAGGAGACGTCACTTCATGTCCACGACGATTATGAGGTGCATGAAACCATCAGATTCGAAACCTTCGGGGTGGATAAACTACGATTATCCTGGCATTCATCAGTAGGTCAGGAGGACAACTTGAAGAAGGATTTATTGATTTGAGGAGCAGGGGTTGACAAACGGTGTCTATGAGGGCCTACTTGCCTGGCAGTAGCCTCCCAACAATACCGCTACTACTATGAATCAAAGGCGGTGTTTGTTGAGGTACCGATAGCTCCTTCCCAATACTATCAACTCACTTTGCTGGCGGGCCACAAGGATTACCACCCGAATGGCCGTACTGTATGACAGTTATCTCCCCTCCCTTGACTATATCGCTGCCGCCCAAATACTGCGTGTCGTGACCTTTTGCCCCGCCGCTGGCACCGCAGCTGGGGTGGCTGGGGTTCAACTCCCCCAACAGACAATCCACGTCGTGAGCCTTGGTGGGATCGTTGTCGCATTGGAAACTCACGCTGGAGCCGTTGGCTATGGTCAGGCCGGCTCTGTAGCCCGACATGTACTGACCGTGAGGTATTTTCGGCAGTTGACAGGGGGCTGAAACGTGCAATCAGTATTAAGGTGAGTGGCAAAAAATGCAATAGTTTTCTAAAGGCTCAAAAAAAGTTACATAGCATCACATAGGTATCACACAGCACCACATAGCATTACATAGGTATTACATAGCTTTACACAAATATCACATAGCATCATATTACTGGCCATTCTAGAGAGTGACGAGAGCGGAGTTAGGGTAATAGTGAAAGCGCATATAAATCGAACAAATAACAAGCGTCTAGCTATATACCAACGAATCTTTGAAATATCGAAGTCAAGTGATGAAGTTACCTACATCACAAGATATTCCTTCTTCCTTCATAGTGAGAACTGTCGATTGATGCGATAGCTCAGTGGACTGTGTTTTTGACTCCCACGGCGTTGGCTCGGGTTCGACCCCAGCGAGGCGTCAGTTTTATTGAATTTTTTCAACCTAAGTAATTTCTTCAAAAATAAACTCATCAGGAAAAAGGTTCATTTAGGCAGAGTTGTGTTATAAGTAGTGTCCTTTTTCATGCAGAAACGATATTTCACTTCCTCCTTATGACATTCTTATAACCTTCTGATAACCTCGAGATTTCAAAGATATGTTGGTATGGCTAGACCACAGCCTCCGAGCCTTGGTGAGAAGTCATGCAACACTGTTCGACAGTCCCTTGGCCGGTCATTTTATACACACATGATATACGCCGTTTAAATGCAACGGAGTGGATTTGTTTAATTTCCAAGCGTAAATGTATGTGTTATCAATGTGAAATATTGTTGAAAGCTAGTGAAAAGTGTAAGGAATATTCTAGTAGTCGAGTTATAAGTGGAAGGGGGGGGGGGGTTGTGTGTATGTGTGAAAGTCCATCAAAAATAATTTTTGAATTGAGGTTATGTTATATGTTATCTTATTTCCTGTAAAAATTAAAAACTGCGAAAAAAGTGGATATCTGCTATACCTACCTCGTTAAAATTGGACCCCATCACAACAATCTGTAGTGTCGTCTGCATTCCATTTCTTTGAAACAGATATATTAGATATAATACATTTTCCCTTTCAGATAGATCCGAAAAAAATTGTTAAGATAGAACCCCTCGTCTTACGGATGCCTCTCGACATCCTGAGTACATCATTTAGTATATCCTCAGAATGCTCCTGAGACGTCTTCAGGACGTCTCTGGAGTTTATTATTGGGATGTTCTTAGACGTCCTCAGGATGTACAAAATGGTAACAAGTGGACATCCTAAGGCCAATATAAGGACGCCCTCAAAAGGTTATCAAAACCTCTTTGTGTTATCTGGGTATTCGAACTACTGGCGAGAGATATTTATAATGTTCGCCTATATCACGTTGCCGTGGTCGCCAGTCGAGAGTGGTCGAGAGTAGGACTTTCGGACATTCGGATCACGGCGATGCGGTGTTGCATTTCTCCCACCGCGGCCTGTTATAGAGCCGGCTGTGGCTAGACGCTTGTGAACGAACATACCTGGGGAGCATTCGGGAAAGCTTGTGACTGCCCAATCGCCATGCCAACACCTCAAGTTACTAGGCCCTTGCACGGAATACCCTTCCTCGCAAGCGAACTCGACTGCTCGGCCGTTGTCGATGTCGACAGTGTCGTTCAGAGGTCGGTCAAGGTCAAGGTCGTCGTCGAGCTGGGGGTCGTGCTTGAGGGTCGATTGGTCGACCTTGGAAAGGGTGTAGATGCCGTGGGGGGTGACAGGGACAAAGCAGGGTACTGAAAGAGGGCGACATCAATGGGTCCCAGAAAAAAAAACGAATCCGATGGTGGCTGTGCTGTTTTTTCCGATAGCATGCCAAGTTTGAAAATGTATTATTATTGGAATTGAGTTATTTTTCTGAAGTAGGTTAATCAAAGAGCTATTATCCCATAATTCTGAGGTAAATCAATTTTTTTTTCATGACTTGAAAAACTATACCATAACAAGATTTCCAGATTTTTAATAGTGATGTTAAGTTCTGTGACGTCTATAAGTCAATTAATCTATATCTCAAGAACCATAAGTCTTCATACTGTGATATATAAGTGTGCTTATATAATTGTTACCCAATCGTTCACCATATTGGATCCGTCATCTTGAATTTTCTAATTGCGACGAAAGAATCATAATCTCCAACCCAGAAAACCCCCAAATACAAATTTTGAGTAGAATCGGTTCATATAATTACAAAACTCATAAAGGATCATATAATCTCCGACCCCGAAATCCCCCAGATACTGATTTTGAATAGAATAATCGGATCATAATCACAAAACTCGTCCGCCATTTTGGAGCGGCCATTTTATTTTTTATCTAACAAAAATTTCATGATGCATTGCCACCTGAAGTATTGCATACTCAACGGATTCGGTACTTTTTTCCGGGACCCAACACCTAGTAATAGACACATCCAAAAAGAAACCTCATGCAGGACCTACATATTAGACAGTCTGGCTTGACAGGTCTCCATTTCCCTCTAACACACTTGGCAGTCTTGTTGTCAGGCATATTCAGACCATAGCCCTTTCCGCAAGCCATTTTGACCACAGTGCCCGAGCTAGAGGTCGTGTTAGGGTCTTTCCCCGTCTTCACCACCTCGACGTTGACGTAGGGCTCGTCAGACAAAGGTTCGCAAGGTCCCTTGTTCTTGTGCTTGGGCGCCTTGGTCTTGGGCTCGATCACTTCGATGAGTGGGGTTTCTTCTTCGGCCTCGAAGGATTTCTGTTTGTTGCCTCTTCGGAGGTTGAGAGAGGAGCTGGAGGATTTGTGGCTGGTTCCCAAGGCCCTGCTTCCACCGCCTCCTGAAACGATAGTTACTAGCAACGTCCTAACAAGCCTAACAAGCCTAGTGTTTTTTTCCTTCCACTCAGGTGGCGTTCATGTACATCTCGCAGAAGCCGAGTGCCTCGTGGGTGTCAAATGCTGGGATGTGCTCACGTTGGGTCAGGTTTGCACCAGATGACGGTCATGAATGGCATCTGGGGACACCACTATACTAATGAGAGCCAAAAGCTAGAAACTGGTCTGTAGGTAGTCAAGCGTACCTAAACAATCCAAGCACAACTCAGCATTTAGGAAAAAATCACTTGTAGCTCTCGTCTTTACGAATCGTTGCATAAATATCGGGAGGATGTAATTCAATGTTGTGCCTGGCATATAGCCTAGGAAGTAATTGTTTTTCTTTCGTTCCATATTCGTCCATATTATGAACTATTGTGGTGATGACTTTGAGTTTCTCCCTAGTGTAATTGGTTTTATAAGGTTGATGGAGCTTTATCCTACCTCACCTTTGAGACCCCTCTTTTTCCGTTTGAGGTTATGTTTCTGCAGAGCGTTGGCGATTCTGGAAGACAGGGGTTCTTTACGAACTGATTGATTGTTCAGTTCAACCTCCATGTGGTGGAGATAGTTGTGGATATGTCTTTTATATCTGTTGTTGAGAATCAGCTCGTGATGTCTTATGAACACCCTTTTGTATTTCTCCATAATCGCTGATCGCTTTCTTCTGTTCCATCTGATCCTTGGATGCTGACCAAGAAGACATCTAAATAAAAATATTGAAGTTTTGCAAACTACAGTTTCGATAGTATGACTGTGTTGTATACTTAGGAAGCTGTTTCGGACTCCAGTTCCCCCCAATGCAAGTGGCTCCAGGTGGTCCTTCAGCTAGTACATAGCCTTTATCACAGTCATACATGATTTGTTTGTTATTTGTCACTTTTCTCACGTAAGGTCTATAATCGTACAAACCCATATTACCAACTAAAAGAATTTTGCCATTTTCAACAGCACCTGGATATGGACAATACACTGAAACAAAAAACATTGCTAATTAATTGTTTACAAACTACTGGTATTTATTACCTTCTTCACACTTTGGTGGTTCCCCGGTCCAGTTCCCGAAGGAACACTCCATGAGCTCCTCTCCCTTCAGTTGGTACCCATCTTTGCATCTAAACCTCGACTTCATACCATGCTCCATCTTTGGTGCTAATACCATCCCGTTTCTTGGGGCTTTGGGCAATAACTTACACCTGAAACTGCAGTGCAAAATCTAGAACATGAACATAGATCAATTATGTTTACCTTGCGGGTTCGCATTTGGGGATAAAAGTCCAAGTGCCATTGTTACAAGTGACTTGCGATAAGCTAGCTAAAAACTCGTAGTTTGGATCACATTCAACCGAGAGCTCTGAACCATTTTGTACCACAGTAGAAGTGATAGCTGTTTCGTTGCTCCCCAGTAGTATGACTACGCCTTGAGTAACGTGGGGAACAACACAAGGAGCTAAGAAGAAGTATAAGATAGTAAGTTCACATGGTTCCTCCATTTGGATTTAGTTATAGTACCTAGACATTTTGGAAGGGGATATCTCCATTTACCATCGATTTGGCAAACGGTAGAGGTGTTACCTTGCAGCAACATCCCTTCGTGGCATCTGAAGATGATCGAAGCTCCCAATCCCGTTCCAGCTTCTATATTTTCCAACCAACCGTTCCATAGTCGTCCAGGATGTCCACAGTTTATCTCTGGAAGCAATATCAGCGTCAGCCTATGTCGTTGATATAGTCGAGGACAGTACCTTTACATGTTGGTTGGGACCCAGTCCACTTCTTGTCAGCTCCACATCTCCTGGTACTTTCTCCCACTAGGGTGTAGCCGTACTTGCACTCATAGCTCACCACGGAATTGTAGCTGCAGGAGGTGTAAATCGCCTTGCCGTGTCTGGGGTTCTCCGGTGGAGCGCACTGTACTGCTGTAACGACTACACAACAACGACCAATAAAGAAAATCTTTTTACAATACGCCAAGGCACAATTCATAACAACTTACGAACACAAGTTGACAGTTCCTTAGGGGACCATGTGCCGTCTGCTTGGCAAAACCTCTCCTTCTTGCCAACCAGTTCGTAGGCTTCAGCGCAGTGATATGTGATGGTGCAGCCGTACGTGTAGCATTCTCCTGCATGATATCCATGAGATATCTCAGTTGGGGCACCGCATGACCTTGCTGCAACATCAGGGCATCAGTTGAACCCTGCACCTGTTAGAAGTGCCTACTTACGTTCGCAAGATATGTCGGGGCCATACCAAGAAGCCTGTCCGTCGATGTCCAGACATTTTGCTCTGGGAAATCCATTGGTCACGTATCCAGTGTGACAGTAGTACTGGAGGGTGGCATCCAGGTCAAAGGTAGCTTGCTCTGCTAGAGCATTGTGTCTAGCATGGTCTATAGCAGGCGGTTGTAGACAGTAAACTATGGACACGAGAATCATTGACTATAGTGCGTTAAGCGAGTGTATAAAATGACTTACTGTTCTGTTTGCATGCTGGTGCACTGCCAGCCCATTGACCGTCAGCTCGGCAAGTCCTGCTTTGCAGCCCTACCACGTGATAGCCGTGTTGGCACGTGTAGGTAGCTCTAGCTCCGAATAGTTTTCCGCTCGCTGTTACCGATCCGTAGCCAATTTGCTCTGGTTCTGGACATTCGCGATCTGAAATACGAAAGTATATACTCGATAGCAGTTTCGGAAGGGCCCTGGTATTGATCCTTGAGGAATACCGTCATGAAATTATCGGGTTGGGGCGTCGTTAGATATGCATTGTTTCGTTTTGTATAGAGGTGTTGTCAAGAGGGTCCTTTGATTCTAGATATTGATTTATTGTTATACCTGGTTTTATACATGATAGCCCGCAAGATCCATCACAAAGGCACTTCTTCTTTTTGCTTTTGCAGTCTTCGTCAGAGGAACATTTTCTTAAGCACTTTTGGCCCTACAATTTCGAATGGAAGTCAAGTTAAAATGTCGATTGTTGAAGTTTTCTCGTACCAGTAGTGTTGCCTGCTCTTCGTCTCTAGGACACAGTGTGGATGGGGAATTTCTGGGATTTTTGTATACTTTGCCATCATCATCGATTTCTGAGGATTCTTGTTCATCCCAGTCCTCGTCATCGTCATCTGGAGTGGGGGTAGTTGAAGAGAGTAGAGTGGTTCTGCGAACTCTGGTCGAGGTGACTGTGAAAAAAACAATCGTCAGTTGCTCTGTCCTTCTTTTTGACATTAAAACATTTAGAATTTAATTAAATATTCAAACAATTATTGACTTAAGAATAAACCAATCATCAAGTCTTTTCTACTGTGACTAAATTTTGTGAAAACATTGAAAAGGACTTCCCAGGATAGTAAACTGGATGTAATCTCTCGTTTTTTCCTTCAGTTCTTATGATGAAAAGTTGAAATTTGGAACAGTCTATACAGGGTTTTCCAAATTGAGTTACGAATTTTTGATGGAAGGATGGAAAAAAATAATTGAGTATCGCTTCATCGAGTGTATTATACAGGGTGATTCATGGTCGATGGTAGATTAGACGTTTATGGAGAACGCAACAAAGGATTTTTCTGAAAATTCCGCATCTTACATCTTACTATCGATCTGAAATATTTTCAAAATTGTGACGTTGCCGCTTCTATCAAGAGGTCCTAGCAACTTCATTTTTTCAATTGGTTCACCCTGTATATTCCATTTCCTGAACCACTCCGTATTTGTTCCAATTAAATGTCAGCAGATAATAAATAAAAAGTTAAGATATTTGAGAGGACAATCTTGAAGTTGAAAAATCCCGATTTTGAACACCCTGCATATCTCTGTAATCATTCCTGCTGGACCCCAAGTGTGATGTAATGATGACATCAGCTCTTCAGGGAGAATCTGGAATTGTAACAATATACAGGTTGATCCATTTAAAAAAATTAAGTTGCTGAGACTTTTTGATAAAAGTGGCAACGTCGTAATCTTGAAAATATGTTTGATCCATAGACCAGGTGGTAAGATACGAGATTTTTATAAAAATCCTTCGTAGCGTTCTCCATAAACGTCTCACCTACCATCGACCTTGAGTCTCCCTGTATTATTCCCTGATAATAGAACTTAGTTAGAGATGAGAAAGCTCAATAAAAATTTTTTCTGTTCGAAAATATTGGTAGTTTCATAAAAATCTCTTGTTATCATGAATGAATAACATTGGCCTCATTTTTCCGGTATTTTCCAAGGTTGGAAAATTGAGACACCCTGTAAATAATTCAAATTACACGTGATAAAATGAAGACGCACTGTATATTCTTTCCTTTTTGACGACTCCATTGTAACTCCCAATTCGATCGATAAACTACGAAGGAGTTGAATAGAGTTATCTTATCTTAGCACCATTCGAAAAACTTTTAGCTTAACAGCAATTTATTTTCCGTCGAGTTAGAACTCTATTGTGCGAACTTTACTCGAATTTGAAATTAATTGAGAAACTTCTTTGTACCCATCCTTCCGATGTAATTAAACTTCACATAATGAAGTATTGTCGAAATGTTTTCAAGCAGACCAGAAACTGAAAAAGTATGTTGAAAATGAAGCCTTTATTGCCCAGCGAGCACAAACATCCCTGGGATGTTTTGGGATGTTTTGAAAATGTTGGCATGAAGATGTTATTTTGAGACGTAATATGCACTGACCAAAGAGGTCTTTGAAGGATATTGAAGTATTGTTTTTGTTCTTCTGTGGCATTTCTTTGTTTACCTACTGAGAGGTATCCATGGGATGTTTTGGGATGTTTTAGAAATGTATAGGCATGAGAATGTTTTTTTGAGGCGTAATATGCACTTCCCAAAGAGGTCTTAGAAGGATATTGAAAGTATTGTTTTTGTTCTTTTGTGCCCTTTCTTCGTTTGCCCCACCACAACGTCTCATGCTTACGTCACAATACGATGAATTCTGATTTGTTTTCGATTTTGTTCTTCTTGTTCGCAATTGGCATTCGCGTTTGCAGCGTGTCACGCTTACATCACGCTGCTAACGAACAGAAAGGAATTTGGTGAAGTTTATTGTGTTGGAAGACTCATTTAGTTTGTTATAATGACCATCAGATGCAAGATGTGTTGTTCGGTGCCTCAGTGTAATCAATATATAAAAGTACGAATTCATCAATACACAGCTTCTCCGCAGTTGCAAAATTATGCATTGTGGAGAACAGTCCAAAAATTGGGAAATCTATTTCCAATTATATGTCTGTGTGTAGTAAGCACTACTCAGAAACCGATTAAGAAGGTAAGTTCATATCAAGAAAATATTTTTATGTTCAATCTATTTTTAATGCATTTTTGTTTATTCAAGGGAAATGGAATCCTAATGCAAAAGTTCATTTTGACAAAAGGCTTCAGAAAAGTACCTCGAAAATGGTTTTTTACAGCGATTTAATGTGCGCAAGACGCGTTGAAAATGTTCTGTTGTGTCCATGAAAAGGCTTTAAAAAGAACTAGGGAAATTGGCTGTTTTATAATATGTAGTTCTATTCATGTGTGAACAGAACATCGCAGTGGAGGTTCAATGTCCCGAAATCTCGTACTTTTAACATCTCTGAGATGTTTTTGTGCTCGCTGGGATCGAAATCATGAAATAAAAGAAGTTGAATAGAAGCTTGTTAAATTGAGCTTTATTAATGAGACTAAATTTACAACAAGAAAAACCATCACAAGTACAAATACTGGTTTTCCTCTGAAGACGAACTTGCCCTATTATTTCCCATAGCCAAAACTGTAATAGGCTTCGAATCAACACACTCATTAAAACTGTCTCCTGAATGATCTCCGGTACATTCTTTCCTAACTGGTAGGCAATACTCGCCGATTTCTTCTTGAGAAGTATCTTTCATCAGCTCGAACTCACTCATATGCTCTTCGATAAATGTTTTTCTCTTTTCCTTGCCCCTACACCTCCGATTTATCTGCAAAGCGAACGAAGACATACTCATCTTCCCGTTTTTCTCTTCTTCTTTTATAACTGTCCTCATAATTTCCTTCATCACTTGTTTATTTTCCGAATAGAACTTGTAGCAGCTTATGGACGAGGGGTTCTCTAGTTTGCGATTGCAAATATTAGAATCTGTCCAGTTGAAGGTTTCTTCTGACATCAAGATTTCTCCGCTATTTTCATCACTGACTCCGGAATTCTTTCCTGAGGAAGTATGGATACTGTTCGATATTTGCGAGGTTTTCAGGATGGGATTCTTCCTCCACGTTCTCTTGTTGTAGTCCTTCAAATTCTCTATAAAGTCGCACTGCAATGCTATTTCTTTATTCTGCTTATCTATTATGTTCTTCATCAGTTTCACTCTGTTCTCCAACCGCAAATTCCTCTTGTACAACTCATTTTCTATTTCTGGAGCGGGATCATTGTTCTTGCGTGAAGGCTGATCGACAATTTTCGTATATGCTTCTCTTATTAAAGCTAAATCTTCAACCTGAGACTTGTAGTTGTCTCTTTGAAGCCTCAAACGCGAGGTTTCTTCAGATTGCTCGGCTTTAAAGTCGTCAAAGTCTTTTTGAAGCTGGCAATAAGCAAACTTCATCTCGTTCTTGTCTAGGAGTGCCTTATTCAATTTACTCCTCAAAGTTTCATTCTCGGACTTGGTTCTGTCAAGCTCTTTACTGATTTTAGCTTTAGCTGCATTGATCTCTTTCAGAATGCTGTCGATAATAGCTGGTTGCTCTTGGCCTGGGAAAAATTTCGTTGCATCGAAACCTTCGTCTTCTATAGCTGATCTTATGAAGTTCAATATTTTATTAAGGAAAGATACGTTCATATTCTTGATGTTGCTCACCTCTGATTGTTGCTTTTCCTTGTATTTGGCAGTTATATTTAGCAAATGCGTAGCTTCGTAGCCCAAGTTTTCCACCATATCTTCAAAGCCAGTGTTTTCGGTGAAAGAAGAGTTTATATAGTTTTGTAGCTTGGACAGCTTCTTCTCAATGACACTGAGTTCGCTTATTTCGTTTTTCTGCACTTCTCGATCTCGTTCGATAAGTTTAACGTGCTTTTCCAGCTCACTATTTTGCATTTTGATACCCACCAGGAAGTTGTAGTTTATTCTTTGATCGACTGGCAGAGTTAAAACTTGCTCTGCTATAAAGTTTCTCTCATCTTCAACCAGTAGTAAGCGATTACAGGATAAGCGGAATGCTTCTAGTTTGCTTTGTAACCTCATAGTAGCTTCAGTGAGTCTTTGGAAAATATCTACGTAATTTTTATCACTGAGTAGCTTACCAAGCTCAATCTTGAGCTGTACGTTGCCATCAGCCTTAGTCAAGAATTTGCAAAACTTGCCTATTACTTTTCTCAATATGAATTCCTGTCCTTGCAAAGCAAGCACTAGCTTTTCGTCTAAGTTCCGCATGTACTCGTACAGATGGTGCATATTGCTTCTGTACCCATTTTTCCTTTTGAAGCTGTCCATAGCTAATACAACCGGTATATTTTCTTCGACTATTCGTGTGGTACACGTTTCAGATAGGCTGATGAGTTTGGAGTTGCTGAGGTCTTTTCTCATGTAGTACAAGATTTGCATTTTTTGGTTCTTCTGTTGGGTTCTGAGCGATTCGATGACTTTGTTTTTGTCATCTAGGATTGACAGGAAGGATTCTGATATGGATTCTTGGTCGATTTTGGTATTTCGGGCTATACTGATGGAGGATATATTGCTGTCGGTCATGGTTTTGACGGCGAAAATACTGATCAATTTACTGTTATCATGAATATGTCACATGGCGGGAAAATGTAAGTTATTGAGGTTAGAAGAATGACAAATCTAAAATATGAGAAGAGACAATTTTCGGGGATGAGTAGTACTACTAAAATACTGAGTGAACCAGAGCAGCTTTCCAATTGAAAATGTGTTACTCCTGAAATGAGCCAATACTTAATTATTGAAACATAATTTTTATCCGTGTATTTTTAATGCCATTCTATCGCCGGATTTGGCTCGAAATTCGAATTTGAATTTTTGATTGTAGTATTTTTATGATGAAAAAACTTGTGGATTATATGATTATAGTATAGGTGTAATGTCTCATCTCGCACATTTTTTACAAAATAATCCACAGGAAATGATGCTGAAGCAAATTTCAACACTTTAGAGTAGGATATTACGATAAAAAGAAAAAGAATTCGAATCAAAAATATTATAGAAGATTGTATTGTTGTTGTGCTTTAAGCTTTATAGGTAGTCCTTCGCTGGTCCTCCTTGTCCAAATATATTTTATATACTGTAGGTACTACGTTTTTGGGATCATCTAGGTTCCATTGAATTTCAGATTGATATCCGTTAGTGAACACAGCACTTGTCATTAGTGACTTATTCACTTATCATAAGTGACTTATTCACTTATCAGTGACATATTCATTTGCGATAAGGGACTTATTCATTTGTCATTAGTGGCTTGTTTACTTATGTCTTCATGCAGTGACTTATTCACTTGTCATTAGTGACTTATGTACCGGTAATTAGCTAGGTACTATGAGAAAATGACACATATATTGTTCTCTGAAAAATGATAACTTTGGTGAAAAGACAAAAACTCGTGCATTTAAAACATTGACTGTATAGCTATGATCAATCATCTATAGAAATCACAAAAAGGTAAGGCTGGCGACGAATATTGAGAGAATAGATACCGGGTATATCAGGATCATGCGCCGAGAAAAACGGTCCATCCGGTTTTTCTTCAGTAATGAAGATGAAAAAATGGAATTAATATTAACTCTCATACTCATTAAACGCCATTTTCTCCCACTTCGAGTATCATCGGAAATGGAGAAGAATTCTGTATGATGTCAACAATTATGTTCTATTCCGGGAGAGGTATGTATTTCATTATCTTTCTCAAAAGAATAACAGATCATCAAGAACTCGACACCCAACGGCACACAAACTGAGAATCTTTATATGTTAAAAAGTACCACTCCCTCTAAAACTCATTTTTGACAGTAAAAAAAAACCGCTTTACAACGAATTTTTTGGAATTCTTGAATCAACGTATACATTTTCACTATCTGAAAAGATATACAGGAAGCAACAAATAGTGTATGAATTTTAAATATAACCGTACGGTAAAGTAGTCCGCGGGTGCAGAAGTTCTACACTTAACGCTAGCAAAGTAGCACTTTACCGCCTGGTCGTGCACAAAGAAATAGTATTACCACCTAAATAGGAAATACCATGAGACTACCTCACCCTGTGTATATAATAATATTGCGCTTTGAAAATAGAAAAAAAAATAGTCATATTTTATACAGAGAGGTGTTGAACATTGGTTTATATTAACATATAATACAGCATACCTCGTTGAAGAAGGATAATTCCAAAAACTAACCAACACCAATAACCTCTACAAGGATTCATGTTTCGGTCATAATTCCAACCGCACCAAATAACCAGTTAATGACACCGACGAAACACGTTAAAATTCAATCTGATTATTGAGTCGAACTGAAAATTCAGCCTGTTGACAATTGTGGCGGATATTTTCGCGGGAAAAATGGTCCTGCAGCAGTCCTGCTACATTTCAGCATTCCACTGGAACGACTGACTGAAACTAAAACGATCTTGGGATACAGACATAGATTTCATCTCCCGTGTCCCGATTCGACGCAAACGATGCTATATTTAATGTTTGAACAGACTGGATGGTGGATTCCTGATGGAAACAATCACATCGTTCTTGAAATAAATTAAAACAACGCTGGGGTGAATCCCTGGCAAATATGCAAGTCTGTGAACAAAACGAATGTTCTTTATTATAAACAACACCAATAAGGAAAAATCATTATTGATTGAAATATTCCATGAATCTGGCAACGTAGCTCAGTCATTTCATATGTTCTGTGCTGATTCTATACAAATAGAAAATGAAATTCTGCATCGAATAGTACGAACATTTTATTGTCATTCCATTCGAAATTTACGGAAGCAATGTTGTTTGTTTTTTCATCAGTCGGTAGAAATTCCGAACATTTTGTCGAAATTTTATCTAGAGAATTCGAATTTTTCACAAAATGTTGACCTATATTTAGAGATTTCATACATGAAATTTTGACTTTCAAATCGATCTATCCCCTCTGAAATGCTTGAATTTGACTCTGATGAGATAATATTCTTTCCACTACCAGCACATACTTATTTTCGTAAGACAGGTTGTCCCTGGTTCCACTTGTCTAATTTTGAGAATTCTCAGATATGATTTCTGTACTGCGATTCTTATTTTTTTCTAGTCATCTCCCATAAAAATCTCCTGACATTTTTTGGGACGCCACTGGTGAAACTAAAATATAAGTATACATCATGGTTGGAGGCATCTCACTAGAAGCTAATGCAAAAGTACTTTAGAAATGGTAATATTAATATTACGTTGCCATGGACATATTAGAAATTATAGTATTTAATCTTCTGTCTAATTTTGACTCAGAAACCCCACAACATAACTTGTCAATGTACTTGATATAATTGTTATTCACCTTCATATCATATATTACGAAAGGTACAGATATTCGAATAACCCGCCATAGCTACAATCGTTCTGATTGGTGTAAAAATGAGTAGATACCGAAAGTCATGGTTGTTTGAATTCTTGCATTCTGTGTCTAATTCTCCTCGTCGTTTAGTTGGTTTTCCAGGTCACTGTCACTTGTCAAGTTCAAGTTGTCACTTGCCACTTGCGTCTTGTGTTTTTTGAGTAAATTGTTTTGTTTTTCTCCTGTAGTATGAAATATCGTGCAAATATCCTATAAAAATAAAATTGCTGTATTGGATTCTTCATTAAATGATTTATATCATAAAATTATTATGAGATATTGAGATGTCTGTGAAAAACCCCGTTGATGAAGAAGTTAAAAGGGCCTCGATAGCCCAAATAGTCACGACTTGTGTGATAGGAGCCATAATAAGGTGCTGTCTCAGTTTTTCGAAATACCAGTCCATCATCGCGAATCATGTGGAGATTTCGACCCCCCTGAACTCATGGAAGAGGGTCTCGGAAGGCCTATATTTATTATCCAACAATATAAACCCATACAGTGGTGACCTGCTTCATGAGACACCTTTTTCACTGTACATTTACAGGAATGTGTTGAGACTCTTCCAAGGCAGGATTGAGTACATGTTTGCAACAGTGGACGTTCTTACTGGAATGATCTTGTTTTTTTCCGCAAAGAAGTACGTTGAGGAATCATACAAGGAGGAGATAGTAAATAGACATCAATATGCCAAAGATGTATCATCATATCTTCTAAAGCCTGACAAAATATTTTTATCCCCTTATTATGTTTTACTGGCATATCTGTTCAATCCGTTCACAGTTTTGAGCTGTGTAGGCTACTCAACAACAGTGTTTCATAATTTCTTTCTTTCTGCTATGTTATTCTCAATGGTACATGGAATAGCAGTAATTTGTGGTATATTCCTTGCCATATGTGCTTCCATATCATTTTATCCATTTGTCCTCATTGTACCAGGGTTTTTGTACTTTAAAAATGTGCATAGGAGTGTAGTGAAAGCTCTTGTGAGTTTGAAAACGTTTTTAGCAGTTTCAGTGTTGATTGTTGTGATGTGTACAAATTATGGCAAAGATTTTAGTTACTTAAGTAATGTGTATGGTTGCATTCTGACTGTGCCTGATTTGCAGCCAAATACAGGACTGTTCTGGTATTTTTTCACTGAAATGTTTGATCACTTCAGAGAACTATTTATTTTTGCTTTTCAAATCAATGCATCAGTATTGTATCTAATTCCTTTATCTATCAAATTTAGAAAACAACCATTCCTACTGACTGTTGCCATTCTCACAATAATATCAATATTTAAATCATATCCTAGTATTGGTGATGTGGGCTTTATACTAAGTTTACTGCCTTGTTTCAGGCACTTATTCAGATGTAGTCAACAGGGATTTTTAGTGGGAGTAATAATGCTGATTTCTACTTCTCTAGCACCTATTTTGTGGTACTTGTGGATATATTGTAATTCTGCAAATGCAAATTTTTATTTTGGTGTTACCTTAGCATTTGCAATTGCTCAGATTTTCTTGCTAACTGATATATTGTTTGCACAAGTGAAACGAGAATTTGTATTGAAGAATGGAACTGAAAAAAAAGTTGATGGTGAAGAGAGCCTATTGTATTTAGAATAGCTTTGTTATTAAATTTGTCTCAAAAATGTATGTGGATTCCATTATTTTCCATTTTTTCAGATGACTCATTCCCAATTCAATTATAAAATTCAACATGTTGAACTCAAAATTTGTAGGCTTTTCTCATAATTAACATTTGCTGGATATGGTTTTATGAAATAATGTATAAGGTACCTATAAAAAACTATAGAAAAATACCACTTCCATCCAATAATAAAAGAAGTTGTAATAAGAGTAGGTTCTAATAAGGCTGGTGGTAAAAAAAAATAGAACATTTCAGTAAATCAGTATTTATTTATTAAGTTAGAATCACAGATGATTTTCCTTTATCTGGATTTCGATTTGCTTGATGTACCAGTCCTAGCTGTCCTTGTAAATTGTTTTCTTGTACTACAGGGTGAAGTTTCTCAATTATTTGGCATAGCTGAAAAAAAAAAGATTCTAAATCCATTAAAATGAAAAATAATACTACTTACATGTCTTATCAAAGGTTTGTATCTGTCTGATGGTAGATTTATCAAGAACAAGACTAGATGTGTCAGATTATTCCAATTCCTAGTAAGAAGACTATGATTCACAGCCTTCATTATACTGGATGGTGATGTCCATGAGGGTTTTGCAGAAGTATGCATATGATCACAACATAATTTTAAAGATTTTTCACAATTACTCAGGTTTTTTTCACTACTGAGTAAAGAAATGAAGTTTCTCATATTACGTTTGCCGATTGTTGGGAATGATTGATCTATTTGTTTTTTAATTTTGGTCTTCTTCACTCCTATCTTATCATATTTATAAAATAATTTTCGTTTTTCTTCCTTCAGAAGATTTTCACACTCTTCATCCGCAATAGCGTTTTCTTCCTCTGAATCTGTATCTTTCGTTATTTTCAAACTTTTTTTTTCTTCCTTCAACAATTGGTTAATGAGTTTCGATTTTTTTCCCAAACATTCATCAGGGAAATATTTGTTTTTGTAAATCACAACTTTTAATTGCTTCATACGTAAAGCCTTCATGTCATTGAGGGAATTTGAACGACCGCTTTTTCCGTTTTCCATTCTCGATGAGATTATGATTCGGACCCGAGTTTGATGGAAAATTGAAATAAAAATCCAAAAAACTAGGTCAAAAGTGTCAAAACTTCGAAGACATCCTCTTCTTCTTCTTTTGTTAAATTTAAATAGATTAGAGACAAGGACTGTAAAGTGATCATTTCTACCAACCTTGGTGCAACCACCAAGAATGCTTCAGTGGCGTTCGGATAGACATTTTTACATATCTATGACCAGAGATGTTAATTAATCTCTACTATGACAGAATATTTATTGCTTAAAAAAGAATTATACGCACTATTTTCTATTTGCCTCCTAGAGAGTCATGTGGGCCCTATTTCATTCATTACGAAATCCTAATCCTTACTTGTGTACAGGGTGGGCAAAATTGGGCGTTTTCACCGTCTATCTCAATAACTAGAGGAGTTATCGAAAAACCGATATACATGTTCCGGGTTCGATTTTGGAGAAACCTCGAATGGCACAATAAAAATTTCGATATCTTCATTCGTTTTAGAGATACAGGGGGAAATTGAAAATTTGCCGATTTCGATTTTATTTTCTGACTACTTTACGGTGAGAGGTATCAAAAAATTTCGAACGTATATTCATACAGTATGATGCGTGGAATCCATTTGCATCATCAGAAATTTTATACAGGGTGACGTTGAAAAGATACGGCAGCCAATTATGTTTTTTCTAATGGAACACCCCGTATATTTTGGCACAGTTGAATAGTCCCAGGCATTCTCATCACAAATATATATATATAACCCCACCTTTTCCTTTCACAATTTCAGATATATTCGCAAAAATATATTCAGTGTATCACATTTCTTATGGTTACACCCCCGTATCTTCTGTAAAAATAATTGAGGTAGGATTCAAAAATTCGCAACTAACAGAAAGATACATATGATACACTCAAGGAGTCATGGACCAAGTGGGATCATCTCCAATGATAACACTGCTCGCCAGCAGCTATGGAATCATCGATATTTCTGGATAATGCTATCAACAGGCAGAATCGAGGTTGAAAATGACACTCTGTATATATTCACCAAATGTGGAAAATAAATATTATAGGGAATGTAATTTCCAGATAAATGGATATTTGGTGAGAAATAAAATGGGAAATTATTCGATTTGATATCATTGTTATCAAGACATTTGAGATACAGAAATAAGACCAATAATTTACTCAATTAGGAAATCAGTAGGTTGCGTTGAAAAATATAGCCTTATAGAAGATGTCCAAATTCCAGATACAGAACAATTTTTTATGGAACACCCCGTATATTTTGGCAAAGCTGGAAAGTTCCCGTTTCAATTTCAAATATATATCTTATTTATTATCTCATTGAACGCGAAAATATTGAGGCATACTAGAAATAATGGGTAAAGTATCATATTCAGGCATTCTGCCACAAAATATTATGATTGTTAATGTTTCCATCAATTATTCTTACAGAAGATACGGGGGTGTAACCATAAGAAATGTGACACACTGAATATATTTTTGCGAATATATCTGAAATTGTGGAAGGAAAAGGTAGGGTTATATATATATTTGTAATGAGAACGCCTGGGACTATTCAACTGTGCCAAAATATACGGGGTGTTCCATTAGAAAAAACATAATTGGCTGCCGTATTTTCTCAACGTCACCCTGTATAAAATTTCTGATGATGCCAATGGATTCCGCGCATCATACTGTATAAATATACGTTTGGAATTTTTTGATACCTCTCACCGTAAAGTAGTCAGAAAATGAAATCGAAATCGGCAAATTTTCAATTTCCCCCTGTATCTCTAAAACGAACGAAGATATCGAAATTTTCATTGTACCATTCGAGGTTTCTCCAAAATCGAACTCGGAACATGTATATCGGTTTTTCGATAACTCCTCTAGTTATTGAGATAGACGGTGAAAACGCCCAATTTTGCCCACCCTGTACTCTTGTAGTAAGTATACAAATACAAATGCCCCCATTTGAAGTTAATTCAAGCTCGAAGATGAAAGCAGAGAGAATATCTTTGAATTATACACTGATTGAGATCATAATTTTCTGTGAAATGCAGAACGGTTTGATAAATAACACGCGTGAACAGCATGAACCTAAGCAATAATGATTTAAGATACTCTACTGAAGAATTGAAACTCGAATAATATCACAATGACTACTGAACTTTCGATAAAATGCATGGAAGCTTGAATTTAAACAATAATTCAATGGTTACTTGAATATACACTCTCACAAGAGTGGTACAAATTATCATCAGTTCTACCAACCTTGAGAGTTTTGCATAGTTGCGCCATCTACCAATCAACAAATAAACTGCAAGACTATCATTGTTCGAGAGATGTATAGGAATCTATTGTGGATTTGAATGCTCATTGTTAGAGATTCATGTGTCGTCAATCTATGTTGTTGTGTTGGTTGAATACTCTACAGGTATGAATTATCATTATTGGATATTTAGTTTTTTCTGTGACGGGAAAAAAGTATGGCATTTCATCTCTGTTGGCAGGTTATAAAATGTCACTTTTCATAAATTACTTTTTTCCCGTGGGAAAAAAGTGAGTACTTCTTTCCCGGATATATATCACATATATATACTCTGTAAATGGCTTTTGTTGTGCTATAGTTCCGAAAAAATAGTCAATAATACCGTCTCCGAGAAAGAACTGCAAGTCCTTTTATCTTCCATTCGACTTCGCGGTTTCGTATATTACTAAACAACTACTGAATTCGCAATTTTTTAAAATCAAATGACAGAATTGAACTGACAAAAGTGACATGAGATATTTGATTACTTCAAAAGAATGATAAAGATGCCTATAAAACGCAGGTGTCCCTACTGTTAAAAACTTTAAATTTCACGTCGATAATTTTCAGATTTCGAAATAATGTAATATCTTCTCAATATTGATTCGTCCTTCCTTCTGTCACAGAAAAAAATAGTGTATTATACACGGGAAAAATATTAGATTTTAGCTCACGGTTTTTTGTCTCCCTCCGCTACGCGTCGGGAGACAACACAACCTGGAGCTAAATTCTACTACTTTTTTCCCTTGTATAATAAATAACTATTTTTGCGCCATTCCACAAAGAGTCTGATGTGTTCTCGAACGAGGCCTTTTAGTAGCAAAAGCAGAAGACGTTCACAATTCCCTTCAAAAATATTTTCTGAAACTTTATACCTTTGGGAATTACGAAAACTCTTCGGTTTCGTGACCTGATCATAACTTATACAGGTTGGCAATAATTATGTATTATTATAAATTTTCCTTCAATTTCATACATTTTCCACGTGGTCACGACCCTTGGTTTTTGGTTAAGCTTTATTATAATTTTCTTCAATGATTTAGCAACAATATCATCAATGTACTCAAAATTATAGTTATTTCTCAAGTAGGTTCAAATGAAAGCCATATGAATATATCATATTATGTCCTTAAAATCATTTATTTTCACGAGTAATCCAAATCACTCAATAATGAATTCCTTATTTGCTCCACCTATATTGGCCAACTATACAGGGGTGTTTCATTGGGAATGGTAAATAATTCAAATGTGGATAGGGGTCACTAGGGTCCCTTGATGGGAGGGGTTTACCCTCTGAAAAAGGTCAAACTAAATCTAAGGTGTAAAGGGGAAGTAAAAATCCTGTCCGAAGGAGGCGGGGCCCGATAACGAAGCGGCCTTGAGAGTTACCCCTTGAGGCTTCTGCGGTCGTCTGAATTCTCCGAATAAGTCCCACAGGCACAGCTTACAAGTTGTGCTTTAGGCAATATACATAAGTATTCCGTAAAAATATGCATAGGCCGAAATGGAATATGAGTATGGAGTAATAAAATTAAAATTATTGTTTTCAACATTATGATGGATATTTCGCATGATAATAATATCAGGCGGAATGCTAGTATAGGTACATACCCAGTGTTCATTTGAAAATTTTCTAACC